CCAACATATAGGCCCTTATCGACTCAGGGGCCTCCTGATCAGCGCCCAGAGCCCTTTGTCTAACACTGGAGTTGCCGGTCCACGGGGCTGGGACCATAAATGCCACCTCCGGCCGACTTTTCCGGCCCTCCGAACCCTCAAATCGGGCCTCTAATCGCAGGTCTCCCGTGCCTTCCCCCGCGTGCGCCACTGGCCACGGCCATCACGTCGTGACGTGGCCATTCGGTCCCGTCTGAATGTCGGGTGGTCCTGCCCGGGTCCCCGTGGAGTTTGACTGAGCTTAGTGACATCTCCGTGTATCGTCCCACTACCCGATGCACCGGCCCTGACCATGATCGGAGGTGGATGCTAATTCTAGTTGTTTATCTCAATTAAATTTGCAATGAGTGAAGCGAGGGCTGGGGATGCGGTGCGGAGGTCCGGCGTTGGATGGCATTGTCTGACACATAACAGCATTTTCATACTAGTACCATGGATAAAATAATATCACAAAGGTTTACGTGATCCCTGCTAGTGTCATTCAAGTAGGCCGTCTGACGCACCCGCATGACTCGTAGGTGCTAAATCAATTAATTGATGCTTTTGGTTCCAGGAAATTGAATTCGATTGCTGCAAAGATGATCCTATCTTGTCTAGGCAATATTTCCAAACAATTAATTGATATTTCAGCACACCAATTCATTGAGGTCGAGTTACACTGATCCGCACACAGCACATAAAACGGCGTAGATAAAATGACAAAGTATTTACTGATTGGTAGCAGATATGCTGGCACGTACTGTTGTGGCCAAATTTGGCGCGTCGCACGCTCGATTTTCGTCGCCACGTGTTCCCATAACATTCGGAACCCGCGAAGGCCAGGGGGCGGGGCCCTGCGCGGTAAATGCAAATGTTCTGAGATGATGCTTCGCGGATGAAAACACATTTGGCTTAAGGCATTTGTGGTGCTGAGTTAACATGGGAAGGATATTTACGATGTGAGCCAGGATTAAGGCAAGTGATCCCGCATACTCACGTTCTTGGACTTCTGGAGTGAACCGGTCGCAAGTCTGCGATTTCTAGTAGACTCCGTAATGCGATGAAATATGAATCATTTGGGGCACTGTGGTCTCTACTGTGTGAGCTTTTGTCCTATTCAATGGGAGCAGTTCTCAACCAGAAAACTGTTTGGATTCCACTGAACTCGGTGTTCACGTGAAGATTACAGTAAACACTAGGACATGAACATGATTTTGATACCCAACATTTGTGGTCTTTACCTTTCAATGCTGCTTTCTGAGCTTATGTTAACATCCCTCCCAGTGATGTAACTGGATGTATGGTGTGTCAATAGCATAATGGCTTTTTGTGAATATTTGCTATGTCTAGAGGTCATCCAGTTAGATCTGTAGCTTTGTGCATGTGCCAGCTAAGAACATCAGTCATGAACAGTGCTGGTTTCAGAAGACCGAAAGGGGGATGGTAGAAAGTGCATTTAATAGGGTATATTTCAGTCTACTTTTCCCTAGGAGCATGCAGGTTCACACTGCACTTCTCGGGCCAAGAGATGATGCAGTTAATTGAAAAATTTGGTGTGAAGGTCTTTGCTTTCTCAGTTTCCAAAGAGTTTTCATTTCATTTTGTTTTCACTTAATTTTGTAGTTCTTTCCTATTGTATTATTTGTTGGTATTAGTATAATTGTTTTATGACATTTTATGTTCATGTCATTACGGGTGTAAGTTGTAATATGTTGTGACCAGATTCGGGAAGATATAGCATTATTCAGTTTAATTTTTATATGTGGTTTTGAACTGCTGACCTGATCAGTATGTTTTTGTGATATATTTAGGACATCCTCATATTTTATTCACATGGTGCATCAATTTTTTGCTGTGATTGGTTGGTTATTTGTGAGTTACAGGAATGCACTCTCTGTAATGTTCATTGCTTGGAGGAAAGGCAGGTGTGTATGGAATGGTGTGCCAGATATTGCTTTTTATGGTAAGGCCATATTTGCTCCAAAGTTTTGTAACACATGATGCTGGGTGGTGAGTTTGACATGGTAAATGCCAATGTTCCAAATGCTACTTTCTCTCACTATGCAGCATACATTTTGCTCACAGATGTGGCAACAGATACTGGAGCTGAAGGCAATTCACATAAACCAAGTAGTGGCAAATGACACAGCTGCAACATAGTTATTTATATTGCCAACACATGTCAGTCATGCAGGAAGCTTTTTAGAGTGGGAACCTCCCTGGAACCCTTGCCAGCTTTGGGAGGTTTGCCAGGTCTAGGGAGGGAGGTACAACTCCATTTACAGATTGCATACCTGGTTTGGAAAAGTTGAAGTCAGGAGGCAGATATGCAGCAGCATCCACAGTCACTGCCATCCAAAAGTTTTGTTGCAGTCACAGGAAATGGTGGAAAGTTTGTCCAGTAGTCGGATGGGAGCATACAACCAGGCAGGTGATTAGTTTCAGTATCAGCCTATTAAAAACCCATTGCCATCCTTCAGTGCTTCGCGAAGTACTTCCGGAATACCGTCGCATCATCCTGGGATCCCTTCGATGTGACGAGAGTTTGTCGGGGCCCCCACCCCTTCGTTGGGGACCCCATCCTAATCAGTGGTGGAAAGCTCCACACTTCGTAACCATCGAGCCCATACAAAACAGCTAACGATATAGCAAACAATTTGTTAAGTCACCCTGTCGTCAATGCCATTTTTTCCGATGCAATCCACGTTCCTCTCCCCCCCCCCCCCCCCCCCCGGCCCCCTCTCCCATCCCCGCTAACGCACACAAAGCCCCACCCCTAGTGGCCAGTATGGTCGTTCAAAACACTACTGCATACTGCAGACGGTTTTTTGGCATCAGGATTGTCGTAATTCCGTCGAGTCCGTTCTTTTGGTTCATTTGGTTAGAGTGCCTGCCTTCAGATCCACCCGCCCGTGGCGCTATGGGTTCGAGTCGCTTTCGATGTTCGCTACTTGCCCTGGACAGATATGGCCGGCGGCCGGTGGCAGCGGCCGCGCTTAAGGTCAGATGAGGTCAGGGGGCAGGACGGACTGTACCATCGCGAGCATTGTGGCGCGGTGACTTTCGCCCCCGAATTATACTGTTGAACTGAAATTGCGTGATCGGATTGTAGGGGTCAGGGCTTACGCAACAAGCACTGCTTAGCATGAGCTCTGATCCTAGAAACTCATCCATTGAGAAATATTTGGTTGAAGTCTTTAAAAATAATCGAATGGGGTTCTGGGTACTTACAGCCTATATGCAAAGGTTTCCTGCCAGCCTCAACTTCATGGTACCGTTGGTTGCCTAACATTGAACGTGCAGGATGGCGTGAGGTGAAGCAATGCAGTCTATGAAACGTTCGGAACTGAGGTTGTCGACATGTTATTGAGTATTCTTCGAGCATTGTTTGACATGTTGAAACACATTGCGTTTTAAGCCAACGGCTGCAGCACTGCGTCAGAGGCGTCATGATGACGGGACCCGTTTCAACGGAGACAGAGTGTCCAGTGGCGTGGCGCGGAGCGGCTGGCAGGCCGGCGATGACGGGACCCGCGTCACCGGAGCCAGAGTGTCCAGTGGCGTGGCGCGGAGCGGCTGGCGGGCCGGTGATGACGGGGCCCGTGTCACCGGAGCCAGAGGGTCCAGTGGCGTGGAACAGTGCGGCCGGGTGGTGACGCATCCCCCGCTCGTGCAGAGCACACCCGCCAGACGGCCGGAGATGTCCGGCGACCTGAGCCTGTTCGTGACCATGGTCACGAGCGCGGGCTCGCACATCAAGTTCTACGCCCAGCTGAACACGGAGAAGTTCTCGGCGCTGGGCAGCATGATCGACTCCATGCGGCTGCACTTCGAGCAGGTGGGCGGCGCGACCGTTCCGACCTCAGGGCGGAACGGGGCACAGTGTTACACGCCTGGTTTTTTGTGCTGCGTGTGTATTCCGAGTTCTGCTAAGCTGTACATATCTGAATAATTCGGTAAGTTAAGTAGCTCTTTTACTGTATGGCTGAGCGGGTGGGCTCTTTTCGATAAGCATGTCCAATGTAAGAGATGTCCGAAAAACGTGACATGGAGTACGCGTGTTGATCAGCGAGGCTGGTTGAGCGGCTTGGAACGGGATGATAACACGTGGATGAGATCATGAAACGATATGCAAACGTCAGTGAAGTCAGTTCACGAATCATATTGCTTGAACGTTGTGAATTATTTTAGTTGGTGAAATGGCTAAGTTTGTGACGATTTACGTTATCGGCGGTCGGCGACTGAACAAAGCGCTGCGAAAAACGTAGTGGCTGTTTATCCGTCACATGAAACCTGACTGCTCGTTTGTACAGTTTTCAATGCCCAACGTTCGTCGGTTGAGACCGCAGTGCCGAATTTGAGGATCGCTTTGAAAGGGGATACCGGTCGCTTCCACAGCCTTGTTTCAGAATCAGAAGAGTTGACTCCAAAGTTGCAGTTCGTTCGCAAAAGTTAGTTTCGCAAAACATACGAGTCAGTAAATCAACGAACCTAGTAACACGAAAGTTTTGAGGAATTTGGGTGGTTCGATGCAGCTGACAAGAGTTGCTATTTCAGCCTCCGTTATACTTCGTCAGGGCTATCAAAATCATCGCGCTTTGCTACACCGAAGGAGTTTTTGCTCCTGCACTTTGTACCTATTCGCCATTGCAGGCGTTCGGTACCTGTGACTTGGTCCCAGATAGCTAAACCTGCAAACATAAAATGACGGGTGCATGATGAGGAAAGAAAACGTCCTTGTGAATGAAGGTTACCTTTTATATTGATAGGTGCGATGGCTCGAATGCCATTCAGATGACCCTTTGCGCCGATTGGGGGCCCCTTGAGTTGATGAGGGCCTCTATATCGGTCGGGCCCAACCAGTACCGAACAGTTGGCTCCGTGTCGGCCTGGGCCTGAGGGCCCATTTGCCAAGCAGGGACAAGGGGCCTGCGATATACATTGTTCGGGGCCCCTAAGCCAATGAAGGGTGGGGATGGGGAGGGGAGGTGTCGACCAGGGGCAGTGTTCGACGGGACCGGACGGCTGGTGTTTCCGGGGTTCCGATTGGAAGGCTGAAGACCCCAAATGGTCTGGAGGTCACATTAAGGGTTCCGACCCGTAGGGTTGTAACCCCAAATGTCAGTCAGATGGCCTCTTGCACCGACTGAGACCCCTGGGGCAGTGCGGACATCTGTTTCGGCCAGAGACCTCCAACACCGGACATTTGGTTCCGCGTCGGTCTGTGCCCTAGGAGCTCATTTCCCCAGCAGAGATACTGCCGAGAGCCCGCAGTTTGCACTAGTTCAACAATGAGAGGCCCCTGTGTCGGTCTGGGGCCCATAGTGCCCAACACGGAGTTCTTTGACAGTAAGGGATCCCGGGTCGGCGAGGGGAACATTTTCTTAGCAGGGACTGGAACCTCGAATGCCGGTGGGCCTCTTGCGTGGGTCGGGGTCCTCTGGTAACGAAAGGAGATTTGAGAACTGGTGATGATAGCCCACAAGAAGACGATGGAAGAGACCTATGTCAGTTAGGGCCCCAGTACTGGACGGGGTACCCTCTACCCCATTTCAGCCAAAGGCCCTTTGAAGGAAATGTTCTGCATTTGAAGACATTGGAAAAAAACATCCGATATGATGAAATATGCTTACTTGTTAATTTTGGTTTACGTTCAAGTGGCTAAGGCTGATCTTGGCCACTCATATTATTTTTGTTAAATTTAGTTAGTAAATATGCTTCTCAATACGCCGCTGTTTGATTGCGTCATCGTGCTTGCACGACATTGACTGAGAGCTAGTTGACGGCAGTTCTTTCTCTGGAAGTCGTGCTCTCGAACGCCAAATATGGACGACCCAACAATTACATTTTTCTCGGTTCTTGATCACCGCATGGTCAATGGAATGCAGGATTTAAATGACGTTACTTATGACGTCATGGATGTCTATGTGTACCTTGTCTCACAGAAAAGTCCGCTTATCTTCGCGGACGCATAGTTCAGTTTTAGAGATGTTAATGGCTTACGAAGGGCAGAGCTGTGAACTGCACCGAATGGTCTTCAGTGATATTATTTCAGTTCAAAACCCCATGCAAACGTGGAGCACTCCCTTTAAGCCGCCCATTGTAGTATCTCTGCCAATTATTGGACCTTCTGCGGTGGTGCGAAATCTGGTTGCGTTAATGGGGTTTCCTGCGTCGGTCTGGGTAAATGCTCGGATCAGAGTCCCCCGTGCCCGGGAGGGGACCGTTTTATGATGTATCTGTTCAAGGGCTTGGGGGTCGAACAGGGGACCCGCTGCCGTGCTGTCAGAATGGAAAATACGAAGCCATTGACTGGGTTCGGGTTTGCAGTTCCAAACCTCGAAGCCGCCTGACTTCGGCTTTGATTTCACGTCATTGCCTTCCTTTGGATTCGGCTTCGAAGCTAGAAGTCGGGTTTCACCCTATGCCTAATTGGTTGCCTAATTACTAGGCCATCTCTTTGTATCCTTTATGTGCTGCTTTGTCGATAGCTCTCGAGGGCTAGGTTTCCACGATGGTTTCTGAGTGCTTTGCATCATATCTATTTGCACCTGATCATTGCTCTCCTTGTTTGTTCCGGAAGGAAATTAAACAGATGTCTTCCTCCAGCATTTTTATTATTTAAATATGGAGTACAAAAGTTGTTGCTACATGCGATGCCAACGAGCTTCAAGTTTGCAGTCTCTGTCTTGGGTCATTCATGCTCTTTAAGGCAGACGGTTGCATCAAGCCTCGGTGGTTTGTTTCTTGCGAGCCGATCCGGCGAATAGACGGCGAGATCTTATAGGGAGTTGGAACAGTGTGGCGGTTTGGGCTTCTGGCAGGTCTAGGTCCCGTAAGCTACACATAAGGATGATTAAAATATTTTTTTTAGATTCCCCCAGGTTTCCGGAGACCCATGCATGTCGGTCCGTGCTCATATGAGGCTGACAGGTCATAGATACAGGTCGAACAGTGCCGATGACATCAGAGTGCCTTGTGACATCGCCACGTACATCGGTGTTGAGAACAGGCACGGGATGGTGATGCTCACTCGCCCGCCGGCCAGCCTCAGTCAGTTCGATTCACGCACCGCGAACAGCTCGCCTGCCGGGACGCTTTTGAAGCGTACCGTGTTGTGACGTGTTGTGTCACGTGTTGTACTGTGGCGTGTTGTAACGTGTTGTGTCACGTGTTGTGCTGTGACGTGTCGCAGAACACGGCCAGCTCGCCGTACGAGCTGCAGCAGGGTGAGGTGGTGTTCGTGAAGTCGGCCTCGGGCGGCGCCGCCAAGTGGCACCGGGCGCGCGTGCTCGGCATCCAGAGCGTCGACCTGGGCACCGTCAGCGTCGAGTACATCGACTTCGGCACGACGGAGGTGGCCCGCTGCTCACAGGTGCGCGCCGGCGAGCTGCCGCCAGCGGCCGGGCGGCGCGCGATGATTTCGGTGGGACCGCGCCTCCGGACGGCAGGGACTGGGCTCCGCGCGGTGGTGACCGCGCACGGACAGTCTCGAGAGGTCTTAGCGGTCGTCAGCTGGTGTGCGCTCGCCAGCGTTGGGACATGCAGAGCCGAATCAACCTGTAGAAAGTTGTCATCTTCGCATGTTTCCAGACAGTTTGATCCGTTGGGCGTAGCAGTCGGCGCGCTCTTAAAACTCAATAGCTAGCTGACTTCGTTGAGATTTAGTTTGCCAGATAAGCACAACTGGCATCTATCCTCAAGGCTGTGATTGATTGTCCCCACCCAGATGCGTGCAGCGCCGTTTGTCACTTCAGCGCCGTGCTTGTACCTGCAGTTCTGTGCCCTTGCCTCCGCCGCCACCTGTGAGTGTGCGCCAGAGATGTTCACACCGTCAGCGGCGCGCGCGCGTCTGTGTGATCTGTCCCACGTCACCCGCCGCCTCCGCACCGCCGTGTGAGCCGCGTGCGCGCGTGTGGGCAGATCTGCCCGGGCCGGAGTCCGGCCGCCGTCGCCGTGGTCTCGCAGCCGCCGCTGGCCTTCGCCTGCCTGGTGGCCGAGGTGCTGCCGGCGCTCGGTGCCTGGACGGACGCCGCCATCAGCTACGTGGAGGTGAGTGGGCGGCATCGGCACGGGTGGATGTGGGTGTGTGGGTGGCTGGGTGCTGGGTGTGGGTGTAGGTTGTGTGTGTGTGATGGGTGGCTGGGTGTGGGTGTGGGTGTGGCCGTGGGTAGGTGGGTGGCTGGGTGCAGGCGTGCGTGTGCGCGCGCGTGTGCGCGCGCGTGTGCGTGCGTGCGTGCTTGCGTTGTTCTCCGGCGCGGGCCGGACTGCGAGAGGTGGTGGTCGGTAGGCGGGTCGGCTCTCGACCCCCGGCAGATGGGGGCTGACAACCGGAGCTGAGGTCACGAGAGCGAGCCCGGGCGGTGTCTGTCGGAGCCGCCGCAGGGTGCCGTCTATTCTGTCAACCTGGCGGGGAAGGTCTGCTGCTCGAGTGTCGGTGGTCTGCGCTCTGTTGGCGCTCAGTCGGGAACGTAGATGTGTTGCTTTTGAGTGATGTCCAACAACGGGGATCGTTTTGAACACATTTTCGAATGAAGCATCAGGTCAAGTCGCTGCGCGCTCAAATCACGCATCGCAAAACATCGGAGCTGATGTTAACTAAACGTCCATCTGTGGTAGCTACAATTCATAGTCCTTTGCATGGGGTAGTTTTTGCTTACCGTACGTAACCTGTGCTGTCCCGCTATGACCTGCGCTGCTCCACTGTGACGTGCGCTGTTCCGCTGTGACCTGCGCTGTTCCACTGTGACCTGCGCTGTTCAGCTGTGACCTGCACTGTTCCACTGTGACCTGCGCTGTTCCGCTGTGACCTGCGCTGTTCCACTGTGACGTGCGCTGGTCCGCTGTGACGTGCGCTGTTCCGCTGTGACGTACGCTGGTCCGCTGTGGCGTGCGCTGTTCCGCTGTGGCCTTTACTAGTCCGCTGTAACCTGCGCTGTTCCTCTTTGACCTGCGCTGTTCCACTGTGACGTGCGCTGTTCCACTGTGACCTGCGCTGTTCCACTGTGACGTGCGCTGGTCCGCTGTGACGTGTGCTGTTCCGCTGTCACGTGCGCTGTTCCACTGTGACGTGCGCTGTTCCACTGTGACGTGCGCTGTCCGCTGTAACGTGCGTTGGTCCGCTGTGGCGTGCGCTGTTCTGTTGTGGCCTTTGCTAGTCCGCTGTAACCTGCGCTGCTCCGCTGTGACCTGCGCTGATCCTCCCGTGACGTTCTGCGCAGCCCGTTTGTCGTGCTGACCCCGTCCGTGCTGCGCAGTCCAAGCTGCGCTTCCAGCTGGTGCAGGGCCAGCTGCTGCGCCAGGACGTGGACGGCGCGCTGCACGTGCGCGTCTTCACCGGCGACGGATCGACCCTGGCCTCGCAGCTGGTGGCGCTGGGGCTCGGCCGGCTGGCGCCGCCCCACCAGGTCAGCCTCGCGCCGGCCCCCACTCTGGGCTGAGGCCGCGGGGTTGTGGGGTCCCAGGTCAAAACCGCTCCTGCCAGGTCAGGTCAGGAAGAACAGGGGAGGGGCAGGACGGGTGAGATCAGAGGCTTAGACGCTCCCTCTAGGTCAGGTTCGGGGAGAGGGAAGGTCAGGCCAGCGGCTGAGCTGCTTCATCTGGGCCAGAGCAGGGGAGGGGCAGGTCAGCACCACACATTTCGGTTCAGGACAGGGACACGTCAGCACCACGCGAGGTTGGGTTAGGAGAGGACACGTCTGACCCGAAATCAAGCCGTGCCCGTTTTGCCGCCGTCGGCCCCGGCCGGCCGCTGACCGTCGGCGCCTGCCTTCGCAGCTGGTGGCGGCCAGCCCGCCGCCGCCGCCGCACCAGACCCAGTTTGTGACGCGCGTCAAGCAGATGGTGTCGGTGCCGCCGGCGCCCGGCTCCGAGACGCTGGTCACCATCTGCCACTACAGCAACGGACCGGCCAAGTTCGCCGTGCAGTGCCACGACCAGAAGCCGGCCCTCGAGCAGCTGATGGCCGACATTCAGGTGAGTGCCGGCTCTGGTGGGGGGGGGGGGGTGGGGGGGGGGGGGGGTGAGGGAGGAGGGGGAAGGGCCGCGAACCAAGCCGAGGCGGGCAGGTCGGGGAGCGGGCGGGCGACATATCACTGTGTGCGCCGTGTGCTCCACAGACGTGACGCGGGTGGGTGCGCCGTGAAGCCATCGTGACGTCCATCCGCTAGTGTTCAATCTCTGTCTGTTGGTTGCCTGTTGTATCAGAGGAGCATGCTGCCTTCCGCTTCTACCCTTCGGGCAGCGTGGAAAAAGTATCGCTTGCTGGTGGAAGTAGCGTTGTGAAAATTGTACCCCAGACTTATCTACGAGGGGTTCAGTTTTTACGAAGAAATAAATCATGAAGTCTCCTGGCGCCCTTCAATAGTGCCGTCTCGTGACCCCCTGCGCTGGCACCGTCTCGTGGCCTCTACCACTGGTACCGTTTGCTAACCCCCTCCCTTGGTACCGTCTCCTGACGCCCTCCACTGGCGCAGTCTCCTGACCTCTCCATTAGTGCTGTCTCGTGCCATCCTCTTCTGGTACTGTCTTCTGACCCTCTCCCCTGGTATGATCTCCTGACCCCCTCCGCTGGCACAGTCTCTTGACCCCCTCCATTGGTGCTGTCTCCTGACGCCCTCCCCTGGTACTGTCTTCAGACCCCCTCCCCTGGTACGGTCTCCTGACCCCCTCCGCTGGCACAGTCTCTTGACCCCCTCCATTGGTGCTGTCTCCTGACACCCTCTACTGGTACTGTCTTCTGACCCCCTCCCCTGGTACGGTCTCCTGACCGTGTTTGACCCGCCAGACGTACTGTCGGTCGAGCGCGCCGCAGTCGTTGCCGGCCGTCGAACCGGGCGCCGTCTGCCTCGGCTCCTCGGCCAGTCGCGACGGTCGCTTCCTGCGCGGCGTCATCACACAAGCCGACGGCAACACTGTTAAGGTGACCTGGCCCGCACTCAGCTGTCCTGCTGTGGCTGGTGGCCCTGAGCTCGTGTCCGGTGGCGGATGGGGGTGTTACGGTGTGGGGTGTGCGTGTGTGCGTGCGTGTATGTGTGTGTGTGTGTGTGTGTGTGTGTGTGCGAGCGCGCGCGCGCGCGCGGCGTGCGTGTCCGACACTTTCTGTTGTCTTGAGCATGGTCAGTCAAGATGAGGATGTTGCCGAGAGATCCCATCTGGTATTAAAGCTGTCTGGGAGACGAATTAGATTAACTGGTGCTTGGTCTTTGTCGTTTTTGGTTCGTTTTTGGAATGATTAGCTGTAGTCGAGTGAATTGTTTTTTATTGGGATGTGGGTAACGGATGCGTTGTTCATGATAGTTACGCGAGCCACAATTCTGTAACTTCATTGTAACCTGTTTCCCGCCCTATTTTTTTTTCACCTCGCACTCGCCAGCGTGTTCAAAGCAGCCGCTTGCGTCGCCTCCCGAGCTGACTGTGGCCGACGCCGCAGGTCTACTGGGCCGACTACGGCAACGACGAGACGAAGGTGCTGTCCGAGCTGCGCGCCATGCCCGCGCAGTTCGCCCAGCTGCGGATCCAGGCCAGCCGCGTGGCGCTGGCTGGCCTGTCGACGCTGGTGCCCGTGCAGGGCCAGCAGCACGTGTTCCGCCAGATCAGCGAGGGAAGCGTGCTGACGTGCCGCTTCAGCCGCGCCCGCGAGCAGCCGGTGAGCGGCGCCGGCGCAGACCGGGTGTCGGCGGCGCCCTGCTGGCAGCCGGCTCGCTGTCGAGACGGCCGGTCCTCGGCAACGGCCCCGGATCGGTAGGAGACAGGCGTCGGCTTGGATACGCGGCTGGGAACACACTGCGGACGGTCTAAGGAGGGGTGGAGGAGAGTTATTTGTAGGGTGGGGGTGGGATGGAGCGTGCGAAGGCGTCGCATCCGCCATTGTCCTTCCCCAACTCATTTGCATACACTGTCGCAGCGAAGCGCAACTCTCGGTCAAGCAACGCCTGATTCGAGCCAACGGCAGAGCCTTGAGACTAAGGTGTGCCCTTTTTCGTTGTATTGTACTGCCGTGTGCGTTCTGGGTCTTGGGACATCGTGTGTCCCGTGTTTCCCGTCCTCCGGTGTTCATTTCCCCCGGCGTTGTCAGGTCTCCTGTCCTTGGCCCCCTCAGGCTGCTCGCTCCTCGCGGCTTGACCTCGCTCGGGCCTCGCCGGCAGGCCCAGGTGGAGCTGCTGGACATGCAGGTGAGCATGCTAGACCTGTTGGTGCGCTGGGGCGCCTACGAGCGACGTGCGAAGGTGGGCAGCGCGGCGGCCGCGCCGGCTCCGCCGCCGCCGTCGCCACCGTCGCCGCCGCCGCTGACGCCGGGCACGCACGCCGAGGTGCTGGTGGTTGTCGGTGACGTCGGTCAGCAGCCTGCACGTGCGGCCGCTGGAGGCGGAGCCGGCGCTGCGCCAGATGGTGGCGCAGCTCACCGACGCGCTCAACGTCAGCGCGCGGCCGCTGGCTCCTGACCAGGCCACCGAGGACTCATGTGCGCCGCGTTCAAGGTGGGTGGGGCGGTGGCCTCTGGTGTGCGACTTCGCTGACTGCGTGCCGCGCGTTGGGGCGCGGCCGTGGGGAGCTGGGCTACAAAAAGGTCAGAGCGCCGCCAGCGGCGTCCTGGTCTGTTGTGTGCCGTCGTTCTATTTCTGGAACCGTTTTTCCGCTGCCTGCCGAGGAGATGCCTTTCTGTGCAGTGGATATTCCCCGGCTGCAGGCGGCCTTGCTTCCAGATGCTGACATTCATGCCGCTTAATGTCGTCCTTCACTGGCTGCGGTCATGTTGCGGTGGGTCCCGGGCGTGTGATCGATGCCGGTCGGCCTCTGCCGCGGCAGGACGCCGGCTACCAGCGCGTGCGGATCGTGAGCGTGGGGCGGCGCGACATGAAGGTGCTGTACGTGGACCTGGGCACCTCGGAGATCATCCCGACCACGGCCGCGTTCTGCCTGGAGCCGCGACTGGCTGCCCATCCGGCGCAGGTGAGGAGCGACGCCCGGGGCGACCGAGCGGCACCGGCCGGCCGCCGCTGCCGCCCGTGGCCGCGTGTTTCGGCGCCCTTCGTAACGCAGTCATGATGCACGGGCGCAGTGTTGCGGTGTGATGGCGTGCGCTGGACAGCCGCTCGTGCGCTCGCGGCGCTGGAGCGGCTCGGCAGCCGGCGCGCCGTGGCCGGGCCGGACAGGTCTGGGAACGCTGGGGCCTGTGGTGACGCCGCCGCGGCCCCGTGTGTGCGTCGGCCTGACGCTGTCGCTGGGCGGACGGGCTGGCTCGACAGGCGGTGCACTGCTGCCTGAGCGGCCTGGAGGTGTCGCACGGCACGCCCGAGCTGGTGGAGCTGCTGCGCCGGTTAACGGCCGGCGGCCGCCTCCTCTGCGAGGTGCTGGACCAGCTGGGCGACAAGCGCATCGTGCGCCTCTCGGACCTGACGCGGCAGCCGCCGCTGGACGTCGGCGCTGCACTGCGAGACCACATGACGGCCCGGCGCGTGCCGCTGCCGGCCGCCGCCGCCGCCGCCGCTGCTGCTGCTCCGGCCACGCTCGCCGTCGGGCCCCCGCAGGTGACTGGGCTTGTGTAGTGGCGGGCGGTGCTGAGCCAGCGGACACGGGCCCGGCTGGTCGCGCTGCTCTTGGGGATCGGTAGTAGTGGAGCTTCGTGGAGAATTCATCGTGATCATGATTTGGTTATCGTTTGGCGAAAACTCGAGACGTGGAAGGCAGGTGGTTTCGTTTACTTAAGGCGCAGTTCATTTAATTTGGTAGATATTGATATAATGTATCACTTCGTCCTCGGACCTCCGTGGACTCATCTCTGATGTCAGCAGTCAACAGAGGTAACAAGAGTCGATGTGACGCAGCACGGAGTCGTCCTTAGTAGACGTCACCAGAGCGCGAATCGTGGGTATTGGGCACCACTCCACGAACAGGCCGCGTCGACTGTACACCCTGGAGCCGATCAAAGCTGCCGGCTGCTGCGGGGGGGGAGGGGGAGGCAGTGGTGTCCGGTCAGCCCCGTGTTACCTCTGGCCGGTCCCCGCCTACCCAGGTGGAGGTGGGGCGCAGCGGCGTCCGGTCAGCCCCGTGTCACCCCTGACCGGTCCCCGCCTACCCAGGTGGAGGTGGGGCGCAGCGCTGTCCGGTCAGCCCCGTGTCACCCCCAACCGGTCCCCACCTACCCAGGTGGAGCTGGTTCGCAGCGCCGTCCGGTCAGCCCCGTGTCACCCCTGACCGGTCCCCGCCTACCCAGGTGAAGCTGGGGCGCAGCGCCGTCCGGTCAGCCCCGTGTCACCCCTGACCGGTCCCCACCTACCCAGGTGAAGCTGGGGCGCAGCGGCGTCCGGTCAGCCCCGTGTCACCCCTGACCGGTCCCCGCCTACCCAGGTGAAGCTGGGGCGCAGCGGCGTCCGGTCAGCCCCGTGTCACCCCTGACCGGTCCCCGCCTACCCAGGTGGAGCTGGGGCGCAGCGTGACCGTAATGGTGACGCACGTCGCCGCGTCGGCCCAGTTCTTCGGCCAGCTGCTGACGGCGGACGCCGACGCCATGTTCGCCATGGAGGGCGCCATGCAGCGGACGTACGGCGGCGGCCGGGCGGCGCCGCTGGCGGCCGCCGCCACCGGCGCCCTCTGCGCCGCCCCGTCGGCCATCAACGGCACCTTCTACCGCGCCAGGGTACGCAGCAGGCTGGCACCGGCTTGCCAGGCCACACGCTGATGACGGAGGGGGGACGCCCCGCACACGGATGACGTTGGGTTGGTGTGTGTCGGTACACCGCAGTTGTCGTTTCAGGGGGTGACGGTGCCCGTAGCGGTCCCGTTCTATATTTTCCTCGCACAATGTCATGTCTGTCAGCGGCCGCCTGGGGCACCCAACAGGAAAGGGCCGTGCTTTCCTCGCCGGTCGTTAATCATCTCTTGCCAAAGGCGTGAACAGTCGGCGGTGCTCACCGTGAGGTTGCCGGCGCGCGGCCCACGCGGTGAACCTCGACCGCTGCGTTTCAGGTGGTCAGCAGCGCGGCCGACCAGGTCACCGTTCAGTACATCGACTACGGCGACACCGAGACCAAGTCTGCCGCTGAAGTGTTCCCGCTGCGAACGGAGTTCACGCAGCTGCCCCAGCTCGGTACGTGGCGACCTCAGACCCGGGGCGATGCCGGGCAGGGGTCGTGCTGACACCGACCGGTGACGACCCCTCACGGACCGGGAGAAGAGTTGTGTAATGGGTCGGTTTACTGGGTGTGAGGATAAGTGATGTAGCAGGGGTGTACCGTTCGCTTGCAATATGGAAAAATCGCATGAGTGCTGGTATTCGTATGTGTGCTGGGGTATTCGGCCACTCACATACCGGCCATACAAGTAGCAAACAGTTTTCAGCGAGGTTTCGCTACTTCACAGAGCACCAGTCTGCCACTGAGGCTGTTGTGTACTGCCCGTAGTCTGCCGTTCCTCCGCAGTGCGTCCCCTGTGGATTGCACCCAGTTGATGGGATGGCTGAGTACCGGTGTCGCTGGTGTGATGCACCGCCGGTTGGTATGCCCCGTGCCGCGGTCTTCCTGGTGGCGTGCATCGTCCTCGTGCGGCGTGGTTTGGCGCAGCTGTCGCGCCGGGTTCGCCGGAGCTGCGGCGGCCGCTGGCCCGCCTGACGCGCGACGTCGTGTCGCCGGCCAGGCATCTTCTGCTCGCTGGCGGGCGCGGAGGCGGTGCCGCGCGCCACGCTCCGCCAGCTGCTGCAGGACCAGACGGCGGAGGTGCTGCCCCGCTCCGGCGCTGGCGACCGCTTTGACGTGACGCTGCCGCCGTGCCCGCTCAATCAGCCGCTGCTGGCTCAGCTGAAGCGGCTCGGCGTCAGCGGGGCGCCCGGTCAGTCCCCGCCGCTCCGGCGCCCCGCCGGCCCGCTCACGGCCGCCGGAGGATGGGTGCTGTGTTATCACACCGGCTGCGGGCACGTGGGGGAGGGAGGTTTGTTACGGTTAGTCCGTGCCTTCTCATTGGATGCATTTCTGGGATCAGTGCTGGTCAAGTATAATGAAATGGAAGATGCGACCAATAGCGACAAAATCTTACTTTAAACGTGTGTTGCTATGTCGTAAGTGTTTTGGTTCACTTTGCGTTGTCCGTTTTTGTCTTGTCTTTATGGGCTGGACAGTTACGTTTGGGAAAACCTTTTCCGATAATTTATGCAGCCATCACTGATTGGGCTTATTCACCGCTGTCATTGTACTTCGTGTTTGTCAAGACTGGCTAGGATTAACCCCATATATTACCCCCATCATTTCATGTTCGTGGTGGTCCATACATATGTTTCAACGGGCCTTCAGCGAAATGCGTGCGGGTGCGTTTGTGTGCGTGCGTGTGGGGGCAGGGGGGCGCTTTTTGACGAGGCATTTGAGCTAGAAACTGACAGGACAGCACGAGTGAACCGCTTTAGTCGCTCCGAAAACCGCGTAAACGTGAGCTGGCAGCTTGCCGGCGCTGCTGCCGCGATGAGCCCGGGAGTGGACGTCCACCCGCTGATGTGCGGACGTTGCCGCTGTTTAACGCGGCTCCTCGGACACCGCAGCGACTTTGGCCAAGGCGGTGCTGGCGGCGGCGGGCGCGGCCGAGCCCGCGTCCCCCGGCAGCGCGGGCAGCCCCGCCGCCGGCCAGGCCGTGCGCGTCTCTCCGCAGAAGCTGCCCGTCGGCGTGTTCAAGGTGGGTGTGTCGACGCCGGCTGGCTGGCTCGATCGTGGCAGCCTCGAGTGACGGTCGGTCGTTACCGACGCTGAAGCGGGGGCCAGTCATGTCGCGTCTGTCTCTCGGACCGCGCACCCCTCGCGGCTTTCGGTGTGTACGCCTGGCTGTGTATGGCGCCTGTCGCCGCTCATTCAGTGCAGCGTCGTATCACCGTGCGGCCGATGCGCCCGGAAACCCCGAGCACTATTATTCCTACTCTGCGCTCCAATGATGGGCGGCGTGCCGTGTCGGACTCACTAGTGAGGTCGCCCTCTTCCCACCTGCTGAGAACGTGCCGTGCTCTCTCCAGGAGGTGGAGGTGGTGCACGTGGTGTCGCCGGCCGAGTTCTACGTGCGGCTGCGCGAGTCGGCCGGCGCGCTGCAGGCGCTGCGCGAGCAGCTGGCGTCGGCCGGCCCCGCGCCGCCGCCAGCCACGGTCGCCGCTGACCAGGCGGTGGCGGTACAGCGCGGGGGCGAGGCCGGCTGGAGCCGCGGACGGGCCATCGCCGCACGCGACGGCCAGGTGAGCGGTGCTCCGAGCCGGAACCTGACCCCCGCCCGAGGCGCACCCGGCGGGCAGCGGCGGGTCGCCCGCAGCAGCCAGCGGCGTGCGGCCGGCTGTGCCCGGTGGCGCGGCGCGCGCGCTGTACCGTACGGAACTTGCGAATGTCGTAGTCGGCTGTCTGCACTGACAGCATCGGCCTCGGGGTTTGCTCTGGACGGACGGCGCCGCTCGACAGACGTTTTGTGTGTGGGCGAAGCGGGGTGCCGGCAGTGAGCCAGCGGTGCTTCCGCCCGTCTGTCTCGGCGTATGACGTCACTGTCGGGGTAGCGCCGGCGAGTGTGTAACGCTGGCGTACGGCGCACTGCAGGTGACTGTGTTCCTGCTGGACCGGGGCGACACGGTGACGGTGCCGCTGTCGTCGGTGCGGCCGCTGCGGGCCGAGGAGGCCGGTCTGCCGGCCCAGGCCGTCCGCTGCTGGGTCAGGGGCGCCCGGCCGGCCGCCGCCGGCGGGTGGTCGGACGACGAGGTATGCGCGGCGGGAACACCGCGGCGCGCTCCGCTGGGGTGGCTAGGAGGCGCGCTGTTAGGGGCAGGTGTGGCGGAGCAGGGGCCGTCTGTCGACGGCGTTGGCCATTCTGCGCCCTTGGATAAGGTTATGTGTGGGTGATTGATATGCAGAGCTGTGTCGCTTTGTAGAAAATGTACATTTGGTGTTGTCGGCTTCGAAAATGGCGCCCGCCAAAAATGCAGGCTGTGTAAATGGGATCTGCTAACGACGACCATGACATGCAAAGCCGTCTGCGGCCTGTGTTTGTCCCCTCAGCCTCCAACCTCGGAGCCTCTCACCTTTCAGCCTCTGGCCCTCTCACTCTCTCACCTTACAGCATCTCATCTCTCACTTTCTCACCTCCCAGCCTTTCGCCTCTCACCTGTCACCCCTCATCTCTCAGCCTCGCAGTCTCCCACCTCTCTGTTCCGCTGCTGTCAGGTGGCCCAGTTCCGTCGCGGTGCGCTGGAGCGTCGCTTCCTGGCGCGCGCGGAGGAGGTGCGCGCCGGCACGTGCGTGGTGACGCTGGCGCAGGCCGAGCCGGTGACGCCTGGCGTGGCTCCGCCGCGCGCCGGCGACGCCAACAACAACGCCATCAGGAGGGTGTCCCCGCCGCGCGCTGACCAGGTGGGCGGCGGGCCCGCGCGGCTGGCGGCGGAGCTGCTGAGAGGCCGAGGGCGCTGGGAGGTCATGGCCGCGTGATGTGGAGAGGCCCTACTGTTGTGAGTCTTTCAGTTGAAACGGGAGGTCGCTGTGCGTTTTGAGCCTGCTGAAAAGTTCGATGCGGTCATGAACACCACCGCTCTCTGTATTTTGATGTCTGCGTGACGGCGCGTTCGTCGCACCAGTTTTCTCGTCCCGAAGCTTTACGAAAGTTTGATCTCGGGATAACCTGTTAATACTGACGTTGTGATGCTTGGGAGACATTAAGAAGTAAATCTGACGAAAAACAGGACAGGCTGGAGTCTGTATCGAAAGGGTTCTGAACGTCGTCATCGACGGGGATGGGTGATGTGACCCGTTGCTGGTGTTGTCTGCCGCAGGACATGAACTGGCGTAACAAGCCGGCCCCGCCCGTCACTACCTCGGAATCGACGAATTGGCGGGCGGCGGACCCACGACCAGGCGGAGGGTTCCGCGTGGAGCGACGCACCCCCGCCGGCCGCGGCCCCCCAGCCGAGCCTCAGGCGCAGGCACAGGCGCAGACCCAGACCCAGACCCAGACCCAGACCCAGACACAGGCACAGACACAGACACAGACCCGGACCCAGCCCGAGACCCAGATCCGCACCCAGACTCAGCCCGAGACCCAAATGCAGACCCAGACCCGGATCCAGCCGCCGCGGGAGCCTGAGTCGGTGTCTGGGCCGGATTCGGACCGCTTCGCCGGTAAGATGCGCATGGACGATCCTGCCGAGTACGCGCGGCGGCCGGCGGCGCGCGCGGACGGCAGCCGCAGCCGCCCGACTGGCCGCCGGCCCTCGGGCGGAACAGCCGGCCGCGCCGCCGCCGCGCCCGCTGCTGACGACGACTGGGACGACGCCGGCAAAACCTCCGCCGCCAAACTCTCCGCCGCCGACGACTGGGACAACGCCGCCGAGCCCTCCGTCGCCAGGCCGGCCGCCGCCGCCGCGCTGGAGATCCCGGCGCACGCGAGCAAGATCGAGCGACGCCCGCTGGCGGTGGGCGAGACGGTGGTGGCGACGCCCACCTGGGTGGCCGGCCTGCACCGGTTCCACGTGCAGCCGGCGCCGGCCGACCCGGCGTTCGTCGCGCTCATGGCTGAGCTGCAGACGGGCTACGGCTCCCTGCGGCCGGCCGACGGGCTGGAGACGGACCCGGCCGTCGGCAGGCCGGTGGCGGCCAGGTGAGCCTGCGCTACTGGACGGGAATGGCGCACCTGGGGCACGATGGCGGAGCGGAGGGAGACTGTTGTCCTTTGCCCTGAGGCTCTGAAAGTATGTCACGCACCACACTGTTCCTCAGATGGACAGTGTTTTGCACGTTCTGCCTCATGTAGTTGAGTAGCGTAGTGTTCTTGCGTGTCACAATCGTCAAAAACGGCCGGAAGTAGCCGTCTGGGATCATCTATCGCGTTCGTGATTGACACACTTGGCTGACAAAGACTATTGCAGCGGTGCATTAGTGACCTGCCCTCACGCTGTGGACGGTGGGCTGGGCGGGGAGTGGGGGAGACTGTGGCCGGGGCAGGAGCCGGCGCCGGCGGCGGGAGCTGGCTGTGCTGACGGCCGTGCTGACGGCTGGTGCGGCCGCCGCGGCAGGTTCGCCGACGGCGCCTGGTACCGGGCGGAGGTGCGCGCCGTCACCGCAGGCCAGCTGCGCCTGCTGTTCGTCGACTATGGCAACGCCGAGCTGGTGCCGCGCGACCAGGTCAAGCGACTGCGGCGGGGAACTCTGCCGGCTGCCGGCGCAGGCCTACTGGTGAGTCGGAGCCGGGGCCGGGGGCCGGGGCCGGGGTCGGGGTCGGGACCGGGACCGGGGTCAGGGCCGGGGTCAGAGCCGGGGCCGGGGCCGGGGCCGGGGAGGGCCAGGGCCGGGGCCGGGGGCCGGGGCCGGGGCCGGGCCGGAGCCGGAGCCGGAGCCGGAGCCGGAGCCGGAGGCCGGAGCCGGAGCCGGGGCCGGGGCCGGGCCGGGCCGGGAGAGAGCGTGGACGGTAACCCACTGTGGCTATCTCAAGAGCCTGGCGTGTCAACAAATGGTGTCCATTGCTGAGTTTGGTGAGGCTGACGGCAATTGAGCTGCTGTCATAGCGGTCATTGATTGCAGGCAAGTAATGGGATCTTGGAGACGAGCCCTATAGACGAAACGGGCGTATGCCGAGTTCGTTCATGCCTAGTGTTGTGATGGATACGTGATCGAGCGGTATTTGTTTGGTTAGACGGCGCCACAGCCTGCCTAATGCGCGGGTCAGGATGGCCGAGCGGTCCAAGGCGCTGCGTTCAGGTCGCAGTCCGGTTCTCCGGGCGTGGGTTCGAATCCCACTTCTGACAGACGGTTTTGGTGTGTGCCCGCGGTCATCTGAACGTATTTAATTGACAGTGGAATGCATTGCGGTCCGGTGGACATACTCTCGGGAGATTGGAGGAGAGAGAGCGGTGGGAGAGTCGGAAGGGAGGGGGCATGTTGCAGGAAGGTGTTGTCACCCGGCGTCTCCATCCTAAGTGCGGTGAGCAGACGCCTGAGTCTCCCTGCTGTGCCCTCAGCTGCCGCTTTGGCGGCGTAGAGCCGGTCGGAGGTCAGTGGAAGGTTCTGGACGAGGCGCAGCTCGCCAAGTACTTCAGCTGCGACATGGAGGTGAGCGGCGTGGGGTCAACGCCCTATCGTCATGTGTTGGATGTTGTGATGGTCATGATTGGGACTCAGTTGTGTCACATTGGCCAGCTTTTTGGTGCTTCCGCCGCTTTCGACAGACCCATCTCGACCCAACGCCCGATGTAGAAGTAGAGGAAATATGGTGTATCGGTACGTCCTCTCACCGACCTCTGCGTTGACCATCACTGTAGGTTATCTTGTGTGGCCGACCCTGTCTGGTCAGGTTCGCCGTGGTTGGGTTGCGCGTTTCGAAGCGTGCGCAGCTCTAAGCACGACGCACGCCACCTCGTGGCCTATGACTTGGTCCGGCTTGGTCATATGGCCTGGTCATGAGCCAGGGGGACTGTGGCTCTTCCGCTCGGTCCAGACATGGCGTCACTGCTGCTGCCGCCGTCGACGCGTCCCCAACACGACACTGGGCAGATGTGACTGTCACAACAGGGTCTAGTGCGTGCTGTTGTTCGGGCCGGGCTCCTCCGACCCGAGCGAGAGAGGGGCTAGGGCGAGTCATGACAATTGCAGAGCGGTCCACTTGTAGGACGGCTTCATGCCTGAATAGTTCCGGCGCACAATGCTGGATGATGAGCATTCGACCGATAGGCGGCAGTTAGGGCCTAAAAGCTGCCAATAGCGACCAGAATACAAGGCATTACAGTGACCAATACCGGGCGCTGTAGCCGGGAACGGTGGGGGGGGGGGGGGGGGAGGGGGTTGTGTGGAACGCGACCCCTCTGGCGTGAGGTGATCCAACTAAGACTGGGTTGGTGGCACGGTGAGAGCGTTGGGCGCAGTGTTGTGGCGTAGGTCTGCTGTCGCCGGATGGCGGGCGGGTCGGTCAGGCTGCCAGCAACGGCCGCGCGGCGAGGGGGTGCGATGAGGATGGGAAGGGACGGGGTTATTCAGGAACTTGGTTATAACGCGTAGCAAACAAAGTTTGATCAAGTGAGGGCATGCTACCTATTGCTAGGTATTTTCATTCATCTCATGAAAGTCCTGGGTGCGGTTACCGTACGTTCACCCTCACGTGCAATATGCGGGTTGAAAATTTTTTGAAAGGTTTTTTAGTGATGAACAAACTCGGCATTGGGATCGTGGCAACTTCAGATATCTACAGAATCATCACGCAACACTTGCAGTACGCAGTACAGGAATGCGTCATGCAACATTGCCTAAGCGGCGATGGGAATATCAATCCGGCTGTCTTTCATCTGCTGAATTCTTTCAATAAGCAGCAAAAGCAATAGCACAGTCCGAGCATTGAGCTCGCATGCGTCCCGCGTGGGAATTCTGCCGTCCACGGACTAAAAGGCCTAAGAGTCATCCAGTAAACATAGCACTTCGGCCCTTTTGCCTTCGGATGGCAGGATTGTGCGTGTCCCGGCTATGCGCTCGGTATTCCTTGGGTTGGTGCGCCGTTGTGGGGCGCGACGGTGCCGCCGTGTGGCCAACAGGCGGCCGGCGCCCTGGGACGTCACCTTACCGGCTGCCGGCAGGTGACGTGTGTGGGCGTGGCCGGTGCCGTCGCCGAAGTGGAGGTGACCTTGGCCGGCCGCAAAGTCACCGACTTGCTGGTGGCCGACGGGCTGGCCGTGCGCGCGGTGCCGGCCCGGACCCTGCGCCAGCGCGGTGAGCGGCCGACGCTGCGGTGTCTGACGCCGGCCCTGATCGTCACCAGCGGCCGCGGACGGCGGCGGAGCTCGTGACGGCCGCTCCCCGCTCGCTCTGACGCCGGCCGGCCGTCTCCCGCTCTGGTGCTGGCTGGCTGCCTCCCGCCCTGACGCCGCCCAGCCACCTCCAATTCGAATGCCCTTCGGCCGCCTCGCGCCATCCGTGACGTGTCCGATACGGCTCGCTTCACTGGCCAGCAGCCTTAAACATTTGTTTGTCCGACGCGCGTTCTGTTGTGTGTTTCATTCAGGAGTCTTCACGATTACGTAAGCGTTCCTCTGTCGACTTGCGAACGCCGTTGCCTGAGGGCATGATCATATAGGGTCCGTCATGTGGGTGTCATCGAATAGAGTCATCTGGATGTCCGCCGGCTGGCGTGCCAGCGTGACCGTCGGTGGAGGGGCCTCTGTCTCGCGGTGCTGCGAGCGGCAGCGGTCGGGGTGCCGTGACGTCCCCGCGCCGCCGCCGCACCGACAGAGTGGTGACTGGCACCCGCCTCCGTGCCCGGTAGCCGCCGGGCCGTTCCCTCCGCTGCGCGCCGAGTTCCGTCGCGGCGACCGGCTGGACGTGTTCGTCTCGTACATCGCCGGCCCCGACCGGCTGTTCGGCCAGCTCAGCGCCAGCGCCGCGCAGCTGGAGCTGTTGGAGGCGCAGATCGCTGCCGCCACACCCGCCTGCGAGGTGCGCCCGACGGGAGCTGTGTGTCTGGCTGCGTCTGTTGGGCTCATTCACAGGCGCACGGGCTCATAGAAGTGTTTGTCGGTCGCAAATGTCTTCGAGCATGTGATTACTATCTTCAGTTGAGGGCACTTACGGCCTTTCCACCCCACCGGCGTTCACTATATGAAGTTATTTTGGTCTCTTTCCACTGATTGAGTATGCTGTGTCCCTGCCATAGTTGCCTGTCTATCACCTAGTCCAGTCTGCCTGCCCTCCTGTAATCTCCGTCGCCGGGCTCCGCGCGCCCCTGACCGCCGGCGCTGGCGCCCCTTCAGCCCGTCCCTCCAGCCGTCGGCTGCGCCTGCCTCGCGCCGTTCGAGGACACCCTCTACCGCGGCCTGGTGGCCGCCGTCGACCCAGCCGGCGTCACCGTCCACTTCGTCGACTATGGCAACACCGAGCGGCTGTCGGCGACCGAGGTGAGGCCCCGGACGGTTGAAGGTCGGGGCTGACCACCGGCGGAGCAGGCCACTCTGGCTGCGCTGCCAACTCCGAGCTTGCTTGTTACAGTGCCGGGAGCTGGCGTATTGTATTGAAGCTAGTGTGATGTGTGGACCCGACTCACCCGTGTTATCTGACGCAGGGGCGAGCTGCGTTTATGCGGGCACTCGGTACCGGAGTAAATTGGCGTGACCTGACCTTGCCCAGCCCAGGCGACTGGTTCAGCTGACGCTCGCTCCACATAACATGGTCTAACCGGGATCAGTTTCTAGCGTGTTCCGCCATAACACTAATAAGCCACATATGCTAGTATAGCTGCTGATACGACCTGGGCTTATATTTTAGGAGATGACCTGACCTGACCTGACCGTGTGTGTGTGTGGGACCAGCTGCTAGAGTGTCTGGAGGGTCTGCGGACCCAGTGATGACCTGACCTGACTGTGTGTGGTCAGCCGCTGGAGTGTCCGGAGGAGCTGCGGACCCCGTGGTGACCTGACCTGACCTGACTTGTGTGGGTCAGCTGCTGGAGTGTCCGGAGGAGCTGCGGACCCGTGGTGACCTGACCTGACCTGATCTTGTGTGGGTCAGCTGCTGGAGTGTCCGAGAGGGCTGCGGACCCGTGGTGACCTGACCTGACCTGATCTGTGTGTATGGTCAGCTGCTGGAGTGTCCGGAGGAGCTGCGGAACCTGCCGGCGAGGGCGCTCGTTTGACGCTGGCCGGCGTCTCCTCGGACCAGACCGCCAAGCTGCTCCCGAGCTGACCAGATGGTGAGGCGCGCAGAACACGGCAGCCCGGCGGGGGAGGGGCGGGGATGGGCGGGGGCAGTCTCAACACGCTGTCAAGTGGCCAACGCTGCCCCGCATGCTGTGTGCGCGGATATGTGTCGTAAAGCGCACCTGTGTGCAGCACATAGTATTTGTAAAAGTGTGGTTTTCAGCAGGCTTAGGCTTCTGAGTGTGTGTGTCCGCGTGAAGGCTGTATTTTCTTCTGTGTGCGATAATTTTTCATCCATTATACGTGTATGCTTTCATTGATGACATGCTAAGCCATACATCCATGCGGAGTGTAACAACGTAAGCCACTCGACTCAGCAGGAACTAATCATGCATTGTCTTCGAGTCGCGCATCTGCTATTGAGCATCGAATCACTCTAACGGGATATCCGAATGATGGCCTTCTTTTCTATTGAGGCCTGCATTCTGTGTCTAGCCGGATAGCTGTGTTTTTTTTTGTTTGTGAGCCGTGCTCGCGCTTGGTCCCGGCCGGCCTGACCTGACCTGACTCCGCTGCCGCGCCGGCCTGACCTGACCTGACCCCGCTTCCGCGCTGGCCTGACCTGACCTCGCTGCCGCGCCGGCCTGACCTGACCCCGCTGCCGGCCTGACCTGACCTGACCCCGCTGCCGCGCCGGCAGGAGCTGATTGCGCTGGTGGAGCGGACCGGGCCCGACTCGTTGGACGTGACCCTGCTGGATGGCGAGGTCAATATCAACCTCGAGCTGGGCGGCGCCGCGCCGGCGCCCGAGCCGCCGGCCGAGACGGCGCCGCCAGCGTCTGAGCCGAGTCCGCCGCCGTTGGAGCCGCCGCCGCCGTTGGAGCCGAGCCCGCCGCCTTCGGAACCGAGTCCGCCGCCGTCGGAGCCGCCGCCGCCGTCCCACCGCATCACCGTGTCGTTCGCCATCTCGCCGGACGAGTTCTACGTGCAGGACGCGATGGCGGCCGGCCAGCTGGACGCGCTGATGGAGCAGCTGGAGACCGCGTACAGCGCGCTGTCAGACGGCGAGCGGGCCGTGGCAGAGGTGAGCCGACCGGCCCCAGAGGCGCCGCCGGCTCCAGAGGCGCCAGCGGTTCTAGAGGTGTCAGCGGTCCTAGAGGCGTCAGCGGCCTTAGAGGCGTCGGGCGTCCTTGTGACCTGGCCAGCGCTCTGTGCGGTGGACAAATGCAGAGTTGGTGCTCACTGGACCCGATGATATGGAAGCCGTGTTGACGTGGCCGCGTAGGCGCTACATGGCCTAGATCGCAGCTCATCCCGCTACATGGCCTAGGTCGCAGCTCATCCGCGCTACATGGCCTAGATCGCAGCTCATCCGCGCTACATGGCCTAGATCGCAGCTCATCTGCGCTACATGACCTAGATCACAGCTCATCCTCGCTACATGGCCTAGATCGCAGCTCATCCCGTTATATGACCTAGATCGCAGCTCATCCGCGCTACATGGCCTAGATCGCAGCTCATCCAAGACTTCATTCACCAACATTAGTTTGCCTCTCAGTATTAGGTGACGCGAATTGTGTTTTGGAGGTGACCGTTGCAATCTGGGTCCTCTGGGCGGGAGTATCACGGGAACACGAAGCTTGCCTTTTCAGCGTCCCGGGTGGAGCTGGTGATACGATGCCAAGCCTCGTCTAATGGCCAAAAATACCGGGCATTTGCGCGTGCTATTGCAAAGCCACGCCCCCAGCGTTGGCTACACTCGTGGTCAGGTTTCTTTCACGTGTTGGGCGATAGCGGAGCCTACATGTGGCCACGCGCCTGGAGCTCGCTGTGCTTGCCACTCGCCGTGTAAAGAGGCTGTGGAGTTCACTGTTGCCTTAGCTTCTCTCGGCGGCTGGGCTCATCACGACCGGTGGCGCGCCGCGCCCAGCTGTGACCGGCCGCGTCTCCTCTGGCGGCAGGTGGAGCCGGGTGACCTGGTGGCGGCGCCGTTCTCCGAGGACGCCGCCTTCTACCGGGCGCGTGTGCTGGCCGTGTCCGCGGACGCCGCCTCGCTCCACCTGCAGTTTGTGGACTACGGTAACAGGGAGTGGGCGGCGCACGGCGCGTGCCGTCAGTTGACGCCCGCGCTGCTCGCGCCCGCGCCGTTCGCGCAGCAGTGCCGGCTGGCGGCGCGGCCGGCCGCCGGCGCCTCCGGCTGGAGCGCGGCCGCCACCGAGGCGTTCGAGGCGCTGGTGGGACTGGCCGAGGCCCAGCTGACGCTGACGCCGGAGTCCGACGGCGACGCCGTCTGGACGGTACGGCTGATGGATGCTGCCGGGGAGGACGTGGCGGCGGCGCTGACGGCGGCCGGTCACGCTCAGGCAGCGGAGGACCCGGCGCCGGCCGCCGCCGCCGCCGGTCTGGCCAGTCTGATACCTGGTCAGGTGGCCGCAGCCGTCGTAGCCTTCTCACTGAGCCCAACTGACTTCTGGGCACAGCTGCTGGCCGACTCGGACCGGCTGGACACGCTCATGGCCGGCATAGAGGCGCTGGAAGGCGAGCTGACGGTCGAGGTTGGCCCGGTGGCCGGCCAGCTCGCCATCGTGCGCTACGCCGAGGACGGCGCTCTGTACCGCGCCCGTCTCCTCACGCAACCCGAGCAGGGCAGCTGCAGCGTGCTCTTCATCGACTACGGCAACACGGAGACGGTGCCGGCCGCCGAGCTGATGGCGTGCCCGGCGCCGGTCGCCGCCGAACCGCCGCTGGCCTCCCACTGCGCGCTGATGCTCCGGCCGCGCGCCTGGACGGGCGCCGCGCTGGAGCGGTTCGCCGAGCTGGCCGGCGTTGGCCGACGAGCACGCAGAGCTGGAGCTGGAAGTGCTCCGAGCCGGCGACCCGGCGCTGGTGGCGCTGCGGCGTGGCGGCGTCGACCTAGCCGCGGAGCTGGAGGAGGCCGGCCTCGCCACGCCGTCGGGTGAGGGCGGCGGCGGGCCGGTGGCCGACGAGGCGGACAGCGCCCGACAGCACGACACCAGTGCCGTCTGCGAGGGAGCCGCTGACTTTTCCGCGGCGGGGCGGGGCGAGAAGACCGGAGAGACGGAGGAGACGCACCTTGCCACGCCCCAGCACAGCGGCATGCCGGCGCTGCTGGAGGACCCGGGCGAGCACGCCGTGTTCGTGTCGCACATCAACTCGCCGCTGGACTTTTACGTCCACTCGCCCGACTCGGCGCTGTTGAACGACCTGATGGAGCGGTTGGCGGCCGCCGGTCCGGCGCTGCTGCCCGCCTCCGAGCCGCGGCCGGGGGACCTGGTCGCGGCCTCCTCCTCCGAGGATGGTGCGCTGTACCGGACGCGCGTGCTTTCGCTCGCCGGCGACCGGGCGCGCGTCCTGTTCATCGACTACGGCAATGACGAGACGGTGCCGCTGGCTGCGCTGCGGCGCTTGCCGACGGCGCTGGCGGGCCCGCCTCCGCAGGCGCTCCGTTGCCGCCTGGCCGTGTGCGCGTGCGCCGCCGCCGCCGCGGCCGAGCGGCTGCGCCAGCTGACAGAAGACGGCGCGGCGCTGACCCTGCTGGAGTGGTGCACCGACGCGGTCGGCCCGGTGGCCGAGGTGCGGCTGGCGGCCGGCGGCGGGGACGCGGCAGCGGCGCTCGCGGCCGCCGGCCTCTGCCTGCTGTCGCGGCGGCCGTCGCTGCCGCCGCCGCAGCTGCCGCCGCTCGGTGTTGACACGGCCGTCCGTCTGACGCACGCCGAGGACGCCCAGCTGGTGTACCTGCGCCTCGCTAAGGACGACACGGTGCTGCTGGCGCTGGGCGACCTGACGGACCTGCTGTACGCCGACCCGGTGCCGGCGCTGGCGGCGCCGGCCAGTCGGCGACCTCTGTGTACTCCGGCCGGCGGCCTGCCGATGGCTGGCAGCGCGCGCGCGTGTTGGCTGTGGACGCGGCGGCCGGCGCGGCGCGCCTCCGCTTGGTTGACAGCGGCGCAACGCTGCGCGCTCCGCTCTCAACGCTGCTACAGCTGCTGCCGAGCGTGGCACTGCCGCCGCCGCTGGCGCTGCGCTGCCGCCTGTCGGCGCCGCTGCCCGGCCCCGCTGAGACGGCCGCCGCCCGGCTCAGCGAGCTGTGCGCGGCCGCCGCCGACCGGTTAACGGCCCGGCTCGAGACCGACGACGACGGACTGTGCGCGCAGCTCGCGCTCAACGGCCAGCCGGCAGGTGATCTGTTGGCTGGTGATGGCACCGCGCCGGCCGGTGGTGACACCGCGTCGGCCTATGGTGACCCCGCACCGGCCGGTGATGACACCGCGCCGACCGGTGATGACACCGCGTCGGCTGTGGGTGATACCGCGTTGGCCGGTGGTGACACCACGCCGCCTGCGGGTGACACCGCGTCGGCCGGTGGCGACACCGTGCCAACGCCGCGGCCGGGCACCCGACGCGGCCGAGACGAAAAGATTGTGCCCGGACAGATATCGTTCTGCTTGATCTCAGACGTAGAGTGCTCTGGAGAGGATGCGCACCGAAGCGAGCCTGCCGTCCAGCTGGACGAGACGAGCGGGTCTGCCGCCCAGTCGGAGGTGGCTGACGAGTCCGCTGTCCAGCTAGGGGCGTTTGATGAGTCGGCCGCGCCGCCGGGGAAGCGACAGGGCAAGTCAGTTGATGGTCCGAAACATGGACAGAAGATGCCGACCGCCCGGAATGGTGGCGACGGGCGGGGCGGCGTGGCGACGCCAGTTCGCGGACGGCGGCTCAGCTGGGAGTCGAAGATCGTGCCAGGCCAGATATCGTTCATTCTGCTGACGGAGCCGCTGGACGAGACGGCCAGCCCGGAGTTGGGCCTAACCGGCGGCTCGGCTCTGACCGACGACTCGGCCCGGGGGCGGGCGTCGGGAGTGAGCGCCGGGCGGACAAGTTTGTCGGAAGACACCGGCAGGGCGACGGGGATAAGCGCTGAATCAGTGGCAACGGAACAGGCGGCCGTGGAACCGGCGGCCGAGAGAACCAGCGCGCGACCAGCGGAGGAGAAACAGGACTTGGGGGCTGTGGAGGACAAAGCCGGCATGAGACCGGTGGAGAAGGCGGACCCCGAGTCAGCAGACGTGAAGACCGACTTGGAGCCCGCGGAAGGCAAACAGAACCTGAAGCCGGAGGACGAGAAAACCACCGCGGGAGCGGGGGAAGAGAAACTAGACCTGGAGACGGAGGGTGTGGCAGTGGGTGGTAAGGTGACGGGGGGCAGAGTCGACTTGGACGTGTCAGTGGCCCCAGCGCTGACGAGTGGGAACAGCATGACCGTGACAGCAGAGAGCGCAGTGATGGTGGGTGCAAGCTCCGCGAAGCCAGAGAAAGTAGGGAAACGGACAAATCTCGAGATTATCCTTGAAGCTGAGGAAGGAGTCCATGAAGAGGCTGAAGAAGAGGAGTCTGAGGCAGTCAACGAAAGTGAGTTGGATAAAGTTAAGGGCATGGGAAGCATCGAGCTGGCTTTGGTCCGTGAGTTTGAAATGACTGTGAACGACATTGATCTCAAGGTAACGGAGGAGGACGCGGTGCTTGAAGCCGCGAAATGGCGAGTTGAATGCGAGATAGCGGAAGAGTCTCATCTCGAGGTAACTGACGAAGGCGAGCTCCAGGGAACAACAGCGACGCGGATCGCGAAGTTAGGGATGACAGAGGAGTGTTCCACCCTAGATGTCGCAGAAGGGGAAGCAGCAGAGGTTGAGGCACCTGATGAGGTCCAGTTTGAGGTTGTGACGGAAGAGACACCCGCCCGCGAAGAGGAACAGGGTCTGGAGGACATGATGGGCGCCGACCGCTGCCCCAGTGATGATGACATCTTGCTGCCCAGCGGGTGTACGCTATCACCTGGCGATTGTCTGTCTGCCGGCATCGTGGAGATGTGTGAAGACGTTGCGGAGCAGCTGGAGGAGACACTGACTGCGGATCAGGCTAGCGCAAGCCCCCGAACGCAGCCGTCGCCGGGAAAGCCCGGTGGTGATGTCTGCGCCGAGACCCGGTCCGCTCCGGGGGCCGATGGAGAGAGGCGCGGGAGCGCCGCGACTCCTCTCGGCGATGGTGCCGATCGAGCGGAGACGAGTGACGAGGGAGCGGCTCCGGGAGGGGATGACGCGGAGGAGGCGTCAGTGGGTGCGGCGCACCATGCCTCGGCCGGTGACGCTGCCACCGACGCCGGTTCAGCGGGTGACGAGATACCTCAGGAAGTGGAAGCCGTCGCAGAGATGCGATCTTCCGACGAGGCACTAGTCATCGACGAGGCTGTTGAGGAGATGTGCGCAAGGCTTTGCGAGTTACTGATCCAGGTAGAGTCACACTCTGCCGATGAGGCAAGGCCTCAAGAGTCGACGGTCGGAGGTGCCTGTCGGCTGCCGGACGACGCGGCTGGGCGCGACACCGCCGGTGCCGGTGACGCGCGGCAGGAACTCGTCCCGAAGCTCCCGCCGGCGGGCGACGGTCGGCGGGAGGCGGCGGGTGCCGCGGGCCCGGCCGGCAGCGACTCTGCGCCGGCGGCTGGCCCCGGCGGCGACGAGCCGGCTCAGGGCGCGTCCCGGCCTTCCGCCCCGGCCGCCGCCGCCGCCGCCCAGCCGTAGCCGCCGCTCCGGCGGACCGCGTAGACGCACGGATCGGCGCTGGAGTCTGGTGGGAGGTCGGGGTGAGCCTGACAGTGATACAGCTGTGAGGTATGTAAGGCCCGATGGCATGTAGTCAAGTTCCTGAGCGGTATTCAAGGCGTTTTGTTAGTCAAGAATGACCATTTTTGTCCTTGCGTTTGTGGTAGTTTTGTGTAAAGTACAATGCGTGACGTATCTGCTGTGGGGTAGATGCGGCGCTTCAGGGCGGGAAGTGCAAAGACGAAACCTGTACTCTGACAAGGCTGTTAACCAAGATTTGTATTTTGTTAATAAAAAACTTTCTACTACAAGCTCTTCCGCGTTGACGGAATGTGTTGAATCTCGGGGGGCATCGGTATGTCGGGATGGTCCGGGTGTGGCGCCCGGGCGTTCGCCGCGCACAGATACAACCCACCGAGCGAGTGGGAAAGATCACCTGGCCAAGATCTGCCGTGCGGAGATGAACACGGCCGCCACATATTTGTTCATTGAGCGGCTGGTGCTCGATTTCCAGCCGGCTTGAAGCGTGGCTCTGCCGTTTATGCTTCCAGTGCGTATCCGTTACTCGTGTCGTTATTTGTAGTTGCTTCGCGGCAGGGCGCTTGCGCCTCGTGGCTGAAAGAAGTCACTCCAACGTTATCGCTTTGGAAGTGACTCGAACGACATTTGTTCCCCCGCCCCCTGGCTGTCTCACAATTACCACCGAGGATTGTGGTGGAGTACCTGGTAAGTGCTCGGGAATCTCGCTGTTCTCCTGGCACCTGATCCTTAGCGCGGGCTCCCTACCCTGTTCCCTCGGCCTGCGATGCTGCTGCCTCCCTGGCCGCCATTTCCGCCTCTCTGGCCGCCAGCTCCGCCTCCTCGGCCGCCTCTTCCGCCTTCCGGGCCGCCTCCTCGGCTTTCCTCGCCGCCTGCTTCTGCTGCTGTCGCAGGTGGTCCGTGTAGGTCAGCTCGTGCGCGAACAGCCGCGAGCACATCCAGGCGGCGCGGGCGGCGCCGCCGCCGGCGTACGGCGGCAGCGGCGCTGGCTCGCCCGGCCAGTTCCAGCGCCAGCCGCGGCAGCGGGCCACCCAGTGGCGCACGCGCTGGCGCAGCGCCACCAGTCCGCTCCGCACGTGCGCCACGCCGTACTCGCGCAGCGCCTCGCGGAGCAGGCGGTGGAAGTGGGAGTAGAGGGCGCCGTCGGCGGCCAGGTGGTGGCGCAGTTGTCGCCGCAGCGTCAGGTTGTGCGCGGCGGCTGAACGCAGGGACGGCGGCCTCACATTGTGTCGGAACGCCACCACGTCGTCCCAGTCGAGGCAGAAGCGGTAGCGCATCAGCACCAGCGACTCGTCCAGCAGGTCGGTGATCATGACCAGGTGGAAGCGGCGCTGCACGTCCTCCAGCATCGCCTCCTGCAGCTGGTCGTCGGCCTGCAGCGCCGCCACGTCGTAGCCGAGGTCAAAGGACATCTGGTTGGGGAAGAAGTGAGATGCGAAGGCGGTGGCGGGCAGGAGGTCTGTGGGCGCCGCGGCGAACTCGGCCAGCGACATGTTCCACACGTCCTGCAGGTTGTAGTACTCGAACATGGAGATGAACTGGTCGACGGGTCTGCGCATGACGGTCACCCAGACCGCGTCCGGGCCGACCACCTGCCGGCGGACCGTCGGCCGGATCAGGTCGGGGGTCACCTACAGGTCAGATGTTATCAGGTCGGAACGATGCTCACCCGGGGTCAGACCGGGAGGCGAAATTAGGTCAGATTGACATCCAGTCTAAACTGAGATCGGGCCTCAATCCAGAATGAGAGTGGGGTTCGGATTACAGTCACATGCAACGCCACCGCTGAAAACTTCGAGCGTTTTCATAATATATTCCAGCGAATGTTTGCTATTGTTTTTTAACTATGAGCTCACACTGTGCTGAAAAACATTTTATTAAGAGAGCTGACCGCGTGATCCTGGGACCGGCGGCCGTGCATTGGTGGGGCCCGGGTCGGGCGGCTGCCCCGGCCGTGGCGCCACTCCCACCGTCGAGCACGCCGTGTTCCGCCGTGCTGCGCGGGGCGGCGTCGGCGCCGGGCGCAGGCACACCGTGGGTCGGTGCGTGGTTATGTGTACGCATGAGTCCGTGGGCGAAACCTTGCGTTGTGAGTGATAAATCAGTGTGAGCAAATTGTTATTAGAGCTAGGATGGTTGTTCCTGGGACATAGACGTTATCGGCGGGCGTCTCATGGAGGACGCGGGGTTCCTCTGAGACGCAACTCGACAGTCAACGGTTAAAGCAGCTAAGTTATGTCCTTGGCTCAAAATGTGTCTCCAGCTTTATTTGTGCTAACCTGGCCACAATAATTGACTCGCAAATGGTCCCAGCAGATGTACTGGAAGTTTGAAACTTGTTTTTAACCGTGATGTGCTATCAGCGGGCAGGAGGGCCAGCCCAAGCCGCCCTCCCACCGCCCCAGTTGGACCAAGAATGGCAACAATGACGGTTTTGAACTTTGAAGAAAATGTAGGCAACTTGCGTGAAAGGAATCCTGCTGTAGCATTATCTCTTAAATGAAATAAAACGATGCCCGACAGAATGATGAAAATCAGGATACTTGGCCGGATTTTCTTCTCTGAAAGTTGGCTGTTTCTCCCGAGACAATGTTTCGGACCCGCCCCTGTTGACAGGCCGCGAAAACCAGCATTAGCAGGGGACCGCGCCAGACTTGTGGCTTCTCTGCGCCGCGTATGGCCGCCGGTAATGGCAAACGGCGCGACTACCTTTTAAATTGTATTGACTTTATCTTTGCCTGGGAATTTGAACTTAGATTGCCCGATCACAAAAATCCTAACGACTGTGACCATATCAAAGCCTAAAAAGCCCAAGTCCCTGAGCCTGGATAAATTTGCCTGCCGCACTATTTCACATAGACTATTAACGCCGTCGATATGATGCTGAATGACAGCACGGACGGCCTGATCTACGCAGCTACCGGTGAATGATTTCCTTGGAGGGACGACCCGCGGAACGTGATGAACTTGACTGAATCCCCCTTTTGAAAACTGATTATGCTTCAGGCGCTGAATCCCCCTTTCGAAAACTGATAATGCTTCAAGCGCTTTTTGATGTAAATAAATAGCACTTTGAGCTGTAACATCGCGAATCCTCGACCACAAGTGTATCTGGAATTACTGATGAAAGGCAGAGCAACGTGCAAATCAACCATTAAAAGGCCTTATGAAAATATTCAATGGCTCCAGCGGCGGCCATGGTCACGAGACCTTGAGTACATTTCCCGTGGTGCTCATTACTCGTGGCCAGGCCTGTGCTTCACTCTGCTTCAGCGGAACCGATTCCGACTTACTCGCAGCGACCGATTTCTACCGATTCTGAGCAGTGATGTGCAACATTGAGTCGACTCAAATTTCGACTCAAGAAGATTTGACGTCATTTCCTTATTTCACCCCGATGGATTCAGATGCGCTGGATGCATTTTGATTCCCGAATGCCGGAAATAACCACCCTTCTGTGTAGCACGACCAGGAGATGTTGTTTAATACACGACGGGTGATCCATGAAATGTTTCCTGAAAATGCTCGAAAATATTCGCCTTGTCCAGCAGTGCACATAGGCGCGAGCAACTCTGTACCGGACTGGGCGGAGTTAAAATCAACCTCAGAATCAGAAAAATGTGCTGGCCTCGGGCCTCACTAATAATTATAAAATATACAAGGTCCGAGGGTCTTGTCGAAAAAGTTATTCGGCTATGTTAGTTAAAGTGTGACATCTAGTTCTGGGCCATGCGCCTACTTGGGATTGTTTGTTCGAGCATGCTTCGCCAACCGCACTATTCATGTGAGGAATTCAACTAGGTTATGTTTTGCTAGCCTCGTTTCTCCCTTTGGAAGAAGACGCATGGGAAATATTTTTGGTACTCCTAATCGAATGCATTTAACCCTGTTTCAGACAGGAGGGGTAGATTTTAACTCGCCCAACCCCGTCGGGCCTTGTGCTGTTTTCTCAGAGACGGTTTCGAGCGGGTCTTTTGAGACCCGCTTCCCGTTTTGGGAGGGGCTTCCCGATGGTAGTATATATATATATATATATATATATATATATATATATATATATGCAATATGTAATATTGCAATATGGGGACGGCTTCAGGATTCAAGAGGAAGGCTCCCCAAACCGTGTCATAATACATTATGGGTAGCAGACATAGACTGTGCAGGCGTATGTGGGACGCCAGTGCAGAGATATGCGGCATGCTTCTCGGTATCTAGATGTAGAGACTTGCACCTCCGCCAATATTTACTCGAATGCTTGATAAACATGACAATGTCGTCTTCTTCTTGCGTGAGAGGAAGCCGAACAACAAAGACTCGAAGTCAGACCAGCACCAAGGTGTTGTGAACGGATGGCGTCGAAAAATGTATACACATCTGCAGAAGCAACAAAAGCAAAACAAAAACAAAAGCGCAGAGGCACCTCCAGGAATGAGAGAAAGGGATTGATGCCATCTGAAGCATGCAGGTCTTACACTGCATGCTGTGTTTTTCTTTCTCTTCTGTGCAGTAAACAGCATCTGAAACTTCAAAGGCGAGTCCAGGAACGACAAAAGTGGGGACCACAGTGGAGGGAGGCCGCAGCCACCAGCAGCGTGGCATCAGCCGTTGACAGTAGCCTTGGGCACGCTTCAACGATATGTCCCCACTGAACTGCATATTTCGTTGACAGAAATCAAACGCCGTGTAGTTTTTCGTCATCGGTTCAGTAGTTCCCGATATTTCCCGTGAGAACGGGACCCCTCCCGCTTGTCCTGAATAGCATTCACGGAACCCTCCCGGAATAGAGTCAAATGCGTCAAGGCACGTGGGTGCCGTCAGATCTGGAAATGGGCAACACCGAGCCCTGCACAGCCCGGAGCAGAGTTCTCGGCTAATGCAATCGGAACCCATGTCCCCTTTTGACGTGGTCTCCGCCTCCGGCCGAACAAATAATGATCAGAGTGCCGACTGGGAGTCGCCGGGCCGAGGCTGGCCTGGGAGGCCCCGCCACGATGCAGTGCGCCAGCCTGGGAGCACCTGCGCAGTGGCTGTGGCCGGTTTGGTTGGCACTGGGTCAGTGGCCGTGGCCGAGCCGTGGCCGATCTGAGAAATCCTGAGCGGATGCCGTGGCCGGTTTGGGGGGCCATGCGCAATGGCCGTGGCCGAACCGTGACCAGTATGTGAGGGCCTGAGCAGTGGCCGTGGCCGAGCCGTGGCCGTTTTGGGAAGCCGTGCGCAGTGGTCGTGGCCCAGCCGTGTACGGTCTGGAGGGGGGGGGGGGGGAGCTGGCCCAGTGGACGTTAGCAGCACACGTGCTGGCCGTGACAGGTGGCGGGAGACTGTCAGGTCAGGGTATCGGTGGCAGGAGGCGGGCAGGTCAGTCGATCACCAAGGGATCTGGCGGAAGGCAGGCAAGTTAGGGGATCAGTAGTGGGAGGCGGGCAGGTCAGGGGATTGGTGACGGAAGGTGGACAGGTCAGTCGATCACCAGGGGATCTGACGGAAGGCAGGCAAGTCAAGGGATCAGTGGCGGGAGGCGGGCAGGTCAGGGAATCAGTGGAGGGAGGCGGGCAAATCAGGGGATTGGTGGTGGGAGGCGGACAAGTCAAGGGATCGGTGGGGGAGGCGGGCAAGTCAGGGGATCTGGCGGGAGGCAGGCAAGTCAGGGGATCAGCGGCGGGAAGCGGGCAGGTCAGGGGATTAGTGGCGGAAGGGGGGCAGGTCAGGGGTTCTGGCGGAAAGCGGGCAGGCCAGGGGATCGCTGGCGGGAGGCGGGCAGGTTAGCGGATCGGCGGCGGTGTGACGGCCGGTCGCGACAGCCGGCAGACGCGCGCGGTGCCCTTGGCCACCGTCCTCGTGTTGGTCGGTCGCCACGCCGCTTCTCGAGAACTCGGCCGACCGCTGCAGCGTTCGCTAGAAATGCAAAGGCGGCTCCTGCAGGACCAGTGCGCAGTAGAGAAGCCGGTCAACGCGGCACGAACTTATGAACGGGGCGCCGCTGGAAGCCGTCGGGGCCGCCGTTCCGAGAATTGCTCGTGACGTCCGAGGATAAAAGGTTCTGACATTCTCTGTTTGCAAGGTCGGAGAGAGGATCGCGCGTTCGGCTCGGTGTCTTACCATGTTGCCATGGTCGCGTATGTGCCACCCAGAGGTATGAGCCTTGAAAATGCATGTTTTTCCGAAGCAGGTGGAATGAAAAATGTTATTAGCCTGATACATCAAACGGTTGAAAGGAAGAACGGCATTTTTGGATTGAATATGCTTAGTTTGTTCTTAACAGTAATTTTTATTAGCGACAAGTAATCTTTGATGCAGTATATACCGTTATTGTTAGTGATAGAGTACCGTGAGCATAAGCTTAACCTTTTTTCTGATGACTTTTGGTGCCCAGGAGCCTTCTTCAATTCACACAATTTTCGAAGAAGCTTTGAGAGCACCAAACACGAGTTGAGATGGTTTACAAGGTCGTCGGGGCTTATACTCCATCAACTATGAAATCAGCAATTATACGGAAAAGGTAGCAGAAGAAGGATACCTGCGAGATATTAGCAAAAACACCGGCAGAAAACCTGCGCCACAGCCAGAGCTCAATATCATATTTGATCGGGGTTTTGCAGCCGGCTGGTAGAGGTTAGGGGTCACACAACAAGCACTGCTTAGCTTGAGCTCCGAGCCCAGAAATCCATTCACTTAAAAGGTTCGGATGACATCTCAGTAAACATTTGCAAAAAAAAAATATGGTCCGGTCGCTCCAACATGTGCAAAACTCACGGCGCGGCCACAGTGATTCCTCGCCATGGCTGCTCAGGAGGCGCGTGGTCGGGCAATACCCCTGGGTGGAGCGCATCAGCTGACCTTGGTGACCTGCGCCGGGTCGAGCCTCATGTGGTGCAGCAGCAGGCGGTAGGTGGCGTTGTCGGCGCCTGCCGACCGGTGCACCATGTTCGCCCTGAAGCGCTGCGGGTGGCCGAAGTAGTTGCCCCGCCGCGGCAGGGCCAGCTGCAGCCGCTGCTGCTCGCCCAGCCGCAGCAGAATGTTCTGCACGCTGCTGCTGGCACACTTGTGCAACTTCAGGAAGAAGACGGCGCTCGGTTTTGGGCAGACTGGTTCCTCCCTGCGCGACAACAGGCACCTGATGTGTCAGCCGAGGGGCTGCTCTTACGAACGGTGGCTGTATCACCAGCAATGGCTATGCAACTTCGCGGCCATTTCTTGGAGTATTGTTACAAATGCTTACATTTTCGACAGTTGTCTGGGTTAGGAAGTATTTTCTGAGAAAAATATTATCTAACGCATTAACATTTGAATTCCGCATTTATTTGAGGGCGTGTTCGCGTTCGAAACCAGTATCAAGATCCGATTTCACCTAAAACGCGTTCCCACTTCTTGCAAAAATGAGATCTGTTCTGCTTATCTCTTACAGCTTGGTCTCCAGACCGCAAAGAAGGAAGTCGAGCGGCATCATTAGTCTGGAGTGAAGTTTCGCAAAAAAGTCAGGGATGGATGTGAGCGGAAAATGTCCAAACCTTCTAACAAAGGACAGGAGAATCAGGTTTCTGCCAGGATTTGACCTACATTCTTCTCAGATTTAAGGCACCGCAGCCTACCTCGCGTACTGAATGGGGAAGTATATCCCTTTCATTGCCACATGAAATCAAGCAGCAAAAATATGGTCTTGCTTGTGATCCAGCTATGCATCCGTTGGTTACTTGGAAAGGTCAACGTACTTATACTTTTGAAATTAACTTACTTTTCTTATTTTCGATATCATGCTCAGGTATTAGTACCTACATATGTGCTTGTTTTGTGCACAGTGGACTCACATTATGCACACATATTTGCACAGTGAACTCAGCATCAATGGTCCTTTTGAATGCTTTCTCGATAAATATGAAAATAGTTTTAATTCTTTGCGGATGTTCGCCCAAAATGGTTCAAAGGCTCATCATACAAGCATCTATAATTTGTCATAGTGTGTGGCCTGATGTCACTCATGTTTATCGTTGGACGTTTTCTAGAGTGACGGTTTTAGATGTAAGAGCAGATTTGTAAAAATCAAGTTATCATGGACTTCATCCAATTACATCGATACATATATATATATATATATATATATATATATATATATATATATATATGCATGCATATGTTGTGAGGTATTATATATATATATATATATGTATATATATAATTAGAATATGAAATGCTCGTCATTAGATCATCGGATTGCTAAGCTGAATGCAAGGTCGCATACTTTTGCGTGTTGCGAAACGCCAGTATTGATCTCGTCCGAATGCATATTCCAAACCCTTCCCTCGAAAAAATGCAATGCTCCTCAGCTGAGCCAGAGCCTATTTTAGGATCAAATGACTGGGAGGGCAAAAAAAAATGCTAGGCCAATCGAATTCCAGGTAAAGGTAACATCGAAGCAAAACATGAGTGTTTCACCGACCTTGGCATCATGCCGACAGTTCCACACAGCTTTCATTGTTCAGATTTGTTAAGTCAAAGCCAAGTTAACTTTGTTAGAGCCAAGTTTTGTCAATTGCAATATCGTGTTGTACAATATTTCTGTACTAGTTCTTGGCTCAAATTAGGATGTCATAAACTGCATTATTCACAAAGATGTGCGCCTGTCTATATGCCCGTCCTTCTGTTTGTCGTCTTTTGCTAGTTGGCCCATGTGCAGGTCAGACAGGGTGCAGCAAGAGCCTGACCTTTCCACAGCACGCAAGTACGGCGTGGCGTGTACACACGCGTGCTAATGACTCGCTGCGGAGATTGACAAGCGCAATACGCTGGTGGGAGGGCCTATTTTTAAGCTCACCCGGTTACCAGAAATCGCGCACGTGGGTTGAGCAAGTTACGCGGTAGTCAAGCCGTTGAAATGATGTCCATTTTTTTTGGGGCGAGCAACCATGAATCCTGGGATCTCTATTTGAAGGAGGAACCGTTTTACGTAAAATAGCCCCAGTGCGAGAATGAAGGGTCGGGGATTGGGAATGATCGTAGGAATTGCGTGTGTAGATACTTTGCAGCGATGCTTGACGCTATCGGAGATGTCGCAGCAATGAGTATTCGACGAACTATGAATAGTGGACCAGACTGTCGCCGTGCAGTATCGAAGCGCCGACTTAGACGCGCTCACAGCAGGATATCAGCTGGCGCGTTTTTGGTCGTGGCGAACTCGGCGCCGGAGGCACGATTTTAGCCTCATTAACTGCTAGAGGCGAGCGCCAATCACTGTGCGTAGAGACTGGTCGTAAGAACAAAGATGCCCTCGGGAGCAAGTGTCCTCGTCGCCAAGTATATGGCATGGATCAAGATTACGGGACTAAACGTTGACAGCAAAAAATTAGTGCGAAGTACAAATACAGTGCAAATGAGATCAAAGACACGCAATTTTGTTTTACGACAAGCGAGAAATTTTGCGCGCCTGCGACACTCTGAATGCGGTTTTTGCGAAAGCTTTTTGTGCTGTACACGCCCATGCACCGCCCCGCCCCTCCTACTATGAAATCTGCGCACGCCCATGTACGGAGACATGTCTCGAAGAACTCACTTAAAATAGGATCGAATGGTGATATAGCCAAAACCACACAATTTATATGATCTAAAGAACGCTGACTTCTTGGAACGCATATACGTGTCCCAAGGAGCCACAGGAGTAAGTTGTTTATTTGGAGCCATTGCAAAATCAGGATAGCATGACCGCGTTATGTCGCACACCACCTATACGTAGGTGAACACAGGCTATTTACGTAATTTGTCAAATGGATGTGCATGCTCAAAAATCTAAACTTCACCACATTGTGTGTGCATGTGTGTGTTTGTGTGTGTGCGTGCGTACGCTGCGTGCGTGCGTGCGTGCGTGTGTGTGTGGGGGGGGGGGGAGTGGATGTGGGTGGGTGTGTTTAATAATGGTGGTTCAGCAGCGCATCACGCAACCAAAGAGGGCAGTCCCGGGCGGTGGAAGAGGGACAGGGTACACATGGGAACCTGCGCCATCATCTTCTTCGCCCCCAGGAAAAGTCGCAATAACAAGTGATGCGTGAGTGTCGTAAGAGCAGTCCGCTTTATTCAAAATCTCGAAGTATCACATGAGCGCTATGACGTTACCTGGAAAGAGCCGAGGGACAATTACATTTGCCTCCTCAGCTTCTCAGAGCTGTAAGATGCATTCGGGCGTAAGCCACCGGTAAAGCAAGGTTTCTGCTAGGGGGGGGGGGGGGGGGGATTTGCAATTTATCATCGGGCCTTGAGCGGTTATTGGTGGGGACACCGTCCCCTCAATTAATATGTTAAAATAGGCTCTAAGTCAAACAGATCTGGATGCTTTAGGTACAGGGGCAGACCCTGCGCTATGTCCAGGATCTGACACCATGGGGAAACTGATAACCCGCTTATTAATGTCATGTAGGTGCTGAATGGCGCTGAAAGTGTATCAATGCATTGTCACAGCAGCCATGCGAGCGCAGGGACTGCGTCGGTGGTGACAATGTAGGTCACCATTAAGGAAATTGGTACCGGCGATAGGGATCGCAGGTCACGCTTTCATGGACGATCAATGGCGACCATGCCAAGGTCACGTCACGTGACATGTTGGGTCGGGTGTGGCCCAGTTACGAGTTCTTGCACGCAACGCATGCTTATCTGCATGGTCACGCTCTCAGGGAGCTGTACTCCGTCTGGCCAACAAAATAAATAATAAAGCCGCTTTGCGGCAACATGTCAGGACTTTGAGCGTGCATATTTGGGAAGCCATATGGACGGCATGCAAATGAATTAAGAGCACACATAATAGATGAAATAGGATGAGAGCATGATCACCACTGATCTGACCCGATGGAATACAATCTTGCGGCGACCCGTTGGAAGTGGTCTGACACCCGTTGCTCTCACGTCTGATGTCTGGACTAGAGCATGGCTCCGACGCTTTAAGAAGAGGTGGGATAACACAGCAAGTGATTCGCCTAATTGCATGATGGGCGGACAATGCAAATTGTTTCGCCACGAATTACGTCAACAGCACCTCTCAGACTTAACCTTCAAATGTGGCAACTTCAACCACATTCATCGCTGTATCACGAATTAAGGAAAGTTAATCTCTGTGAATGAATATGTGAGCATGCAGTCGTGTTCTACGCGGCACCAATGCGTTGATAGCCTTAAAAGCCAGTTGGGAGGTGAGGCATAGTCTTACCAATTACTGCGAAAACCTCCCCCCCCCCCCCCCCCCCCCACCACACACACTCCCTCATTTGCTTGGGCTTTGACCTTCGGGGAGCTATAAGGATGGAATGCAAATTAAGTATTGTAAAGCCGGCTTTGATGGAAAAATAATGTCTCTGTAGCGTGAAGTTAGATGGCTGCATCCGCAGCAACCAGTAGACTAGGCCGCTTCTTGGAACTCACTCGGCGATCCATAAACTCCAGTCCTCCAGTCGTAGTGCGTAGAAGGCCGTTATGACGAGCACGGTCGCTGAAAGCAGGCACAGCACCCCGGGGCAGATTCTCATAGTTCTTGGCTCGCTAACGTGAGCCGTCCCTCGTAGCTAGAGAGTCACACTTCTAAGCAAATTGATAAACTGGCTTTAAGGGACATGCAAGTGAGTTCTACAGCAACAGAATTGTTGGCCTATGATTGGGATGCCAGGTGTTAAACTTAAATCACCAGACTAACGTAAGCATGATTGGAAATAAAGGCAAGTTTTCGGACAGTTAGCGGGGTTGAGTTTGCTGTTAGAAAGTTGACTAGTGAGTAATGCACGGGCTCAACAGGTACTGAACACCTGCGAGTTTTATCGATTGTAGTTATAAGAGGTACAGCGATGTATACAAGCGTTAAAACCGAGCTGGTTCACAGCACAGATTAGCAAAACGCGGCTTTTTGGCAGACACTGAGTGGTGTTTTCCACGGCTAGTTTAAAAACAGCGGCATTTAACATCGCGCAGAAAAGTGCATCGCTTCAAGTAATTCAGGAGTGTGGTGTTACGAATGTTTGCCATAGGAGAGCTCTTATGCAGTCATGATTAGAGCATTCGTGTCAGCCTTCCTGGGCGTGAAAACAGGATTGAAGAATGTGTGCCAATCTTCCTATCGGATATAATCTCATGGCGTGTCCGGATAAATCCGAAGCTGAGCTAAGCTGTAAGAGGGATATGTCAAGATCACAAATGAGCAACGCCGCTGGTGAGGCAAGGAATTGAGCAAGACAGAATCACTTTCGTAAGACCGCTATGCACATCATCTTGCCTAAGTTACATCAGACGCTGTGGGAAACACGCTTTACAGTCAGGGCAGTCATAAAATTTGGCCTGTTATTGTTGTTGGTCAGATGTGCGAGCTGTTCCAACTCGGTGATTTCATATGACTTTTCCGGAGCAAACGTCGCAGAGGATGCAAATTTACCAAGCCAGAATAGCCGTCACCTTTGGAATAAAACTATCTTCGCAACTACGCCAGTGCACATGACATACTACAAGTTACGAGGAGATGCAACGCGAATGAACGACACGATGTACGCTCTGAGAGCCATCGAGAATCATACGTGCCTAAACTTTACTCAGATGAATGACGACGTGAAGAGGTGCCGTGATCCATGGACTGTTTGCGCCACTATTGGGAGCTTGAAATCGCTGGTGTTTGCCTCTTCTGAATCAGGACAGAAGCAATTGTTTTCCTCGACGAAGTCTTCTTTGGGTGCTGCGGTGGCAGTTCTAGCCTCTCTCGGACTAAGGAGTGAAATTAACAGGCAAGATCGTGATGCCTACTTGCAGATCCATTTTGAGCAGCTGAACTACGATATATTTTCCCCTAAAACAGCAGTTGTAAGAGCTCTTAAATCCCAGCTATTTTTGAAGTGCGGGCATCCTAAGCGCTTTACACCCTTCGATTACTTTTCTGTCACCCTCGGTGATTTTATGAACCTACAAGAGGACGACAGACCCGTGATTGTGACCAGAAAACCTAGCAATATGTGGAAACTATATCTGCAAATTCCGACCGCTCCTACGTTAACCATTTTTGATCGGTTTTATATCACGGAAAGGCAATGTTCTAAAGACGTAAATAAGGATGGAAGGCATTGTGATCCGGACGACTGCAAAGCTGGATTTCTTATGCAATCGTGTCTTTGCATCTGCCTTCCTGGCTTCACAGGGAGCAAATGCGACGCCAAATCCTCGACCACCGACTCCTCCGCCATTCTGGGCATCAAGCTGCCCAGCTTTCCGATCACGGTGTCCACTCCATTCGACTTGGTTCAGCAGGGCCTGGAGCTGACCTCTGACCGATGGCCGACCCAGCACCGGTTCGTCTGGTCCTGCCAGCTGGAGGCGCCTCCGCGCTCGCTACTGCACATCAGTCTGGTGCCGGCCCACCTTACGCGGGCGCCTGCAGATGCACTCGGCCGACCACGACAGCTTCGACCTCCAGCTGCTGTACACGCACGCCAGCGCCACCACGTACCGGGCGCTCCGGCTGGCGGAACACCTGCCGGTGGTGACGGTGATGCCGCGCGTGACCCGCGTCACGCTGCTGCTGGTGGGCTGGGGTGGCCGGCCGCTCGGCCCGCTGCTGCACGGCTCGCCCCTCTTCAGCCGACACGCGCCCGACCCGCCGTTCCATCTGTGGCTGGCCCGCTCACCGCGCGCGCCGCCCGTGCTCCGTGCTTTCTTCGCCGGTGCTGCGCTCCTGCCCCGGGCACCCAGCTCTGCCCAGAGTGAGGGCCGGCTCGGCGACGGCGGCGGCGGCGGTGGCGGCGGTGAGGCGGTGGCGCCGTCGCCCCAGCCCGGCCCCGTCGCTGACCCCCTGCGCCGATACTTGCCGCTGGTGCTCGGCGTCGTCTGCGCCATGTGGTTCCTCCTGCTGGCTGTCGCCATCCTTTGCTACGTGCAGTCGGGCCGCATCGGGCGTCCGCCGCCCGACGACACGCCCGTCGCCGAGGAGCAGCCTCCTCCCGCCGACGAGCCGGCCGAGGCCGACTCGTCCTCGTCGGGCAGTTCGGCGGGCGGCCTACTGGGTCTGCCCGGCGCTGGCCTGCTGGGTCTGGCCGGCGGGTCAGACACCAGCAGCGGCTCGGCACCGGCCACCGAGCACTCGGGAGCTATGACCACGGACGCGTCAGAGGCGTCGGCGCACGTTGCAGTTCACGGCGGCGCCGCCGGACGGGCAGGACGGGCAGTTTGGGCAGGGCGGGCAGGGCAAGCTGTTGGATGCTGCTGGGGCGCCGGCTGTCGTCTAGCCTGAGAGGGTGGAAATGACCAGAGACTGACAGAGCTCACAGCTCCATAGAGCGCCGACTGTCTTCTAACCTTGGAAGGCGGAGATGATCAGAGACTGACAGCGATCACGGCTCCATAGAACGCGGTGGGGTCAGTCGTGGCGTCTGCCGGATTTCCATTACAATGTGTGAAGAGCTTGGGTCCTTGACCTGGGTTTCACAACACAGCTGACTTCCTGAGGTCAGCTGAAATCGGCCAAGTCGTCGATGAAATATAGCATCATCGTGAAAGACATGCCATAAAGGTGGCAGACAATGATCTCAAATACGGGTCGAACACGGTCCTTTCTAGCGGAGTGTTTCGGAATGGTCGGAGATATTGACTCACGGCTCGAGCTGAATTCCACGGTCCCATTTAGCAGTGGCCACGTGAATCTCAGGACGACCGCATTCACATGACAATGTGTGGGGGTGAACAAATCGCCCAGTCACTTCTGGTTCAGAGAAGAGCTGGCTGGAAGATCAGAACTTGTGGTATTACGATATTGTTACCAGATGCAAGAAAAGAGGCGTTTGCACTGATCCAAATACAGGTAAAGCTGGAACTTCCGACTTTGCGAAAGAGGAGGCCAGAGATTGCACTTCCAGAATATTGAGATCAAGTTGAGACGCCAGTGCGACTTAAAAACGGCACGTATGTGGTAGGAGAGATCAGTGCGATTCTTACGGATTCAAAGCTTATATAATCCTAGACATATTTCATTACAGAAAACACTGATTGTTTTGTGTGGTGCAGGTATCGTATACAATATCTCAAACCTAAGCCCAATGGTAATTGCATTCATTGTCCATTATTTTTGTACCCCATGGACGCTGTTCTTATTAAAGGGAGTGCTGCACAATTCTATGGGGCTTTGAACCGAAAGAGCCATCGTGAAGATCATTTGGTACATTTCACAGCTCTGTAGGTCTTAAGACCTAAACCCCTCTAGTTCCCGAGCTACACGTCCGCGAAGATGGTGATGCTATTTCGGGGATAGTATTTAAGGTCACTTTGGCATTCATGACGTGATACCGACGTCATTCAAATCCTGCCATGCCATAAGCGATGCAGCGATCAAGGCTAATGAAAACATAATGGTCGATTCATACATATGTGGCGTTCGTGGATACGAGTTCCAGGTGTAACGGCCGTCACTGGACTCCCAATCAACGTTGTGCACGGCCGATGACGTCATCAAACCGTGAGGCATCGCGGAGCATATTTATTTAACAGAAAAAATATGCAACCTGGAGCACTCTTTTCTTCTTAAAAGTATACCAATAGTTATAGGTGAGCTTGTTTCGTAATATGTGTGATGCATGCTTTAATATCTTCAAATGTGGCACGTTCCCTTTAACTGCATGCAGTTACACCGTCAGTTACACACGACAGACTTTTCAGCTGTTCGGTACCTCTTCGGGACAGTCTACTGGACCACACCCGCTTGCTGTCAGGCTCTACTGGACCACACCCGCTTGCTGTCAGGCTCTACTGGACCACACCCGCTTGCTGTCAGGCTCTACTGGACCACACCCGCTTGCTGTCAGGCTCTACTGGACCACACCCGCTTGCTGTCAGGCTCTACTGGACCACACCCGCTTGCTGTCAGGCTCCCTGGGTGACGCCTGTGCACACGCAGGGGCTATTCCCATTTTTCGGGCTCGGTAAGCTAGAGGACTGCTCCGGTGGCATGAAGGGGCCATGCTCTTGGGACATACCACGGGGAGATCTATATAGGTAAGCCAGGATTATTAGCACTGGCAGGATTATTTATAGGCAGGCCATGCCCGTGAACCCACCGCCGCGGGCGCTGGTTGGCACGGCGTCGATTCAGCGGCAGGGCGAAACACTCCCCAATGCCTGTCATCTTCTGGGAAGGGCCGGCCGAGGAAAAGCGCGCCAAGTTTACTGCCCATTCGTTTTTTTAGCACTGTTCTTGCTACGGGCCTGTTTGCGGACCTCATATAGATGCCGGAAATCGGGGTGATCTCGGGTCTTTCCCCTGGGATTCCTTGATATTGCTGCCGATGTTGATTTCCGGCTATGAACATGATGCAGCGCACGATGTGATGAGTGGATTGACGCAAAAGTGGGAGGTCTGAATGTGAACGCCTCTCATAAATTAATAACAAACAACACAGTCATAGCCGCCAGCAAGGCCACAAACCATTGCCCACTCGTCCGATCTGCCAGCTGAGACGAACCACGCGTCCGCCGCCGGACCGGGTCGCACTTCCAGCCGGCTCCGGCCAACATGCGGCCCGGTTACGGCCCCCCCCCCCCCGAGCGACCCATCAGCTGCCTACGGTCGCGAAACGTTTGGTTTTAAAAAGCTTGGACGCTTGAAACATTTCGTTATCTGCTGCCCGATGCAGTTTTGTCAGCCGTTACCTCTGAGAGAACTATTGCGTTGTTGATCTTGACTGATCTCGCAAAAGTTTCAGATGATGCGTTCTATTTCAAGCAGTTTTGAGGTTAGAATCCAATGATAGAGAGGACAATTCAGTCGATATCACTTTTGACTTCGATCTGGATGACCACACAAGCAAGAGTGGCTAGGTGTTGTTGGATTTTTAAATTACGACATATGAGCTTTGAGGCCTCAAACGCCCATCCTCAACCTCATGTTCCCAAGCCTTGATCCAAAACTGTGATACATCGGGGGTGCAGCCACAACGCAGCGCTGCTGCATCTCCCGCTTGAAGGAACGAGGACCGACTCTGAACGAGAAGACTCGAGGGGCGTCACGCCGAGCGAGAGTTAGTTCCTGAGTTAGAGAGTTAGTTCCTGAGTTAGAGAGTTAGTTCCTGAGTTAGAGAGTTAGTTCCTGAGTTAGAGAGTTAGTCCTGAGTTAGAGAGTTAGTTCCTGAGTTAGAGAGTTAGTTCCTGAGTTAGAGAGTTAGTTCCTGAGTTAGAGAGTTAGTTCCTGAGTTAGAGAGTTAGTTCCTGAGTTAGAGAGTTAGTTCCTGAGTTAGAGAGTTAGTTCCTCCTGAAGTTGATGGCATGCAGAAGTTTTGGTATGCTGCCCTTCTGTTGGGGAGGGAGGGGGGAGGGGGGGGGCAGTGTGAGTACCGTTGCATTGTGTGGCGCGCGTCCTGCTGCGAGTGCTCGCATGTCAGGTGGAAGGGCAGTGACATTTGTGGGCAGTTGGTGCTGGTTATGGGTGAGGGTGTGCCACCGTGTCAGTTTGCGTATGTCTCATCGTGACTTGTAGTGCTCTACCTCAAATCGTTTCACACTGTGCGCGAGCGTGTTGTCCATACAGTGCACCAGTGACTAGCCTGGCTGGTCTGTGCTGTGCGTCTCACGAGTCTGAGGAAGCCGCTGGTTGTCAAGATCCCCGTCATAAACTGCGTCACAACTGTCAAACAACGGAAGAATGTACCGTGTATATGTCGTTGAGAGTGTGTGGACGCAGAAGTTGTGATAGTGAGCAGAGAGGTCCAATGGCTTTGTTGGTTTTGGAGATAAAGTGCCATCAGCGTACTGACTGATGGAAGTGTAAGTCAATAGACATTGTCATGCCAAGGTGTTCTTGTTCTTGGGAACCACATCAGGGGTGTAAAACACAGCCAGAACAATGTGCACGCCCGTATCTACCTCTGAACAAGCTAACGCGCACCAAACAAATCAAATGAAAATACAAAAGTAACAAATACTTTTGAGGGGGTGTCCTGAGCAGCAAAAATGTGATTAAAGTGCTGTTTTCTCCAGAAAAGGAACGAGAACAAATTTTAGAAATGAGTGCGTTGGTGTTTCGTTGCGGTGGGATGTTACCTGAATCTTTAGGAGTTAATTCAGGTATTAGACGGTCATTTAAAAACAGCTTCTGTCAAGACGTTTATCTTAGACGTGGGGGGTTGAACCATGCCATATTTCTTTGACACGCTCCTGTAACTACAGTTCCTGGAGCGTGGTAGTGCTGCTTGCTGTCGTATTTTCTTCCTGTGAAAATCTGGGGTCATGACCCCTCTTCAAGTGAGGCGACCAGAGGGGCTACATGGGTTGGAACGCCCACAGACCAGATTTGACCCCCTCCATACGTTTCTGACCGCCTCTGGACTTTAAAATGGCCTCACCTGAGTGTAAATGGCCGGCAGGCAGAGACATCCTGGGCTTTACAATCCACTATGGAAGCGGTTCGCTCCCAGGAGTGCTGGAAGTCTGTCGTCGAATTGCCGTCCAGCTTGCTCGGTTCGGGTCCGTTTGGGATTGGTTGGTCCTTGTCGATTAGTGTAACCGTACTGTTGGTTGGACATGCAGCTGCTGGAGCCCAGAAAGCTAGAGCTAGGTCTATGGCTTTGCATAGAAAGAATGGATTAAAAAGACGCTTGCATCCCTAGCACTGATTTTCTCTCGAAAATTCCGCTCCTGTGCTTACCATTCTGCAGGTTAGCCATGACGCTGCTTATGATACAAGGTGAGATTTGTATAAACAGGTACGAGAGAGCCAACCATTTGGTAGGAAACTAAAACTGTCGGTGGACACCAGCAGTTCGCATTTGATCAGCTATCCCAGGCAGCGCTGAACCCCCGAAAATCATGAACCGCGGCGACTAGCCGCACGGCGATGCGATGATCGAGACGCTCCTTCCAAATCAACTGTCTTTTTGAAACATCATGTTGTAATAACCACGTGCAGCCCCCTTACTTACGAGGACCGCTGATCTGACTTGCCGCTCCTCCCCCGTCCATGGGCGAAGTTTTTACCGCGCCACTGCCGCAGCTCACAAAGCCACCTCAACCAACACGCGAGACCAGCCGGCCGCCATTTTCATCGTCCAGTCTCTTACGTCATAAAACCGTTGGGACTGAGCGGCCGGTCTCGGATTCAGCCGTCATGTTTGTTGTGACGGCGGCCACCCGCCACGCACCTTCACGTGGAAGCCCCGAATCTACGCACTACGCGCCTCCCTCCGTACGGGCCGCGCAGCCGATCAATGCGGCGTCTTCGAGGCCGTACGGCCTTCCTACTACGGTCTGGTTTGAGCCCGATGTGCGTAGTAAATACGACAGTGGAGGTTTAATGCGCTCGGCTAAAAAGATCAGGTTCCACAAATGCTTTGATGATGATACAAGGCCTTGTAACTGGCGTTTATATTTGTTTAAGAGACTCAATGTCATTTATTACAATTTTAATGATACAATCAACACAACAACACACCGTATTTGAGCTAGAACTTTAGCCGAGCGCACCAAGTGGGCGGAGCTTCTCTCCTCGTCAATAATCATTCAGCGTTGCGCGAGGCTGGGAAACGGGGCCAGCCGCGCGCGGTGGCGCTGGTGGCGGCCCGGGCCGCGCCGTTCAGTCGTTGGGTGTCCGTTGAGGAGGTAGTGCGCTTCTCTTGTGGCGCAGGTTTGAAGCAAGAACTTGCGGCTCGCGACGAAACTGGTCAGCGGCGGAGGAGGACGGAAGCGCGGCTGTCGGACTGAGAGTGAGTCAATGTGGATTTCGGCGGGGAGTGGTTACCGCCGACCCCACCCTCATTCGGAGCGGTCCCGGCAAACGCGCGCCGGGCGTTGTGTCGCTCGCATGAGTGGATGATGAGCATATGACAATTTAGGCGTTTGTGTCCAACGTGAATCCGTGTCCTGACCTCATGGGCGTAGAACCACCTCAGAGAGGGAGGCAAAAACGCGTTTTCGAGGTGAACTTTCATTCGTTCCCTCACCAAAAGGGAGCGTTTGGACGTGAATGGCTTGAGTGAATGACCACTGCCCCCCCCCCCCCCCTCCGCCCCGCTCCCGCTGTTCCAACGCGCATGACCAGAGCCAGGTTTCGCCATGTATCGCGTCACGCCGCGGTGGCCGCCCATCATGTTCCTTTCGCCCTGTGGCTCGGTCCCGGCGTGGACCAACGGCGTTCTCTCTGCCCCAGATCAAGCGGCCATCCGCGCTGGAAATATAGGTGGCCTGGCGTCGTCACTGAAGGAAATCGCGGCGTCCGGCAGGCGAGGTGGGTACGCCGCACGGCGCTGGCGGGCCAGAGGAGTGTGCTGGCGGTCCCTTGCGGTCCAGAGGAGTGTGCTGGCGGTCCCTTGCGGTCCAGAGGAGTGTGATGGCGGTCCCCGGTGGACCAGAGGGGTGTGCTGGCGGTCCCTTGCTGTCCAGAGGAGTGCGCTGGCGGTCCCTTGCGGTCCAGATGGGTGCGCTGGCGGTCCCCGGTGGACCAGAGGGGTGTGCTGCGGTCCTCGGCGGTCCCGAGGGGTGTGCTAGCGGTCCCCGGTGGACCAGAGGGGTGTGCTGGCGGTCCTCGGTGGTCCAGAGGGATGTGCTAGCGGTCCCTGGTAGACCAGAGGGGTGTGCTGGCGGTCCTCGGCGGTCCAGAGGGGTGTGCTGGTGGTTCTCGACGGACCATAGCGGTGTGCTAGCGGTCCCCGGTGAACCGGAGGGGTGTGCTGGCGGTCCCTTACGGTCCAGAGGGGTGTGCTGGCGGTCCCCGGTGGACCAGAGGGGTGTGCTGGCGGTCCTCGGCGGTCCAGAGGGGTGCGCTGGCGGTCCCCGCTGGGCTCCGGCGGGTCTGAGGGCTACCAAACCCCGGCGGCCAGCGTGGCGGACGGAGCCCTGTGCAGAGCCGCGGGCGGCGGCCGCGCCGCAGGCCTGCCCACCGGCTAGAACTCGGTACCGGCTGAGCGGCATCGGAGCCTGCATGGTGGGCCTGATCACGCTGTCCGCCGTCGACGGGGCGCTCCGGAAGCGCGTCGTTTCCGGGTCCGCGGCCAGGATTCCCCAGGGCTATCAGATCTGGAGTCCGCTCAGGGCCTGGTGAGGCTTGAAAGAAGGCTTCTTTCGCCATCAGCGCCGAATTGGACGGCCGCAATGGGACGAGATGGCGGGACATGTCGGCAGCGTCAGATGGTGCTGATCATCATTCAGCCTGTGAGCATCCGGTGACCTGACGACGTGTCCCAACTGGCCACCGACAGCTCACCGACTCCCACTCGAACAACGCGGTCGGGGAGGGGGGGGGGGGGGGGGCGTGGGATGGTGCATTCAAGTTCGTTCTGTTGTTTGATGTTCTGGAAAATCGGGCGCACTTCAACGAATTTTTTAATAATATTTTGTAAAGGGAGTGCACCACATCTGTATGGGGTTTTAGACTGAAATAGCCATCTTGAGGAGCTTTCGGTGCTATTCACAATCCTACCCCTCTTAAGACTTACCCCTCTAGTCTCTGAACTACACGCCCGCGAACATGGAGAAAGGTATATCGGGGAGAGTATAATGCAAAGTGACCACGGCATTCGTAAATGCAATATTAACGTAATTCAAATCACACCATTGCATAAGCCATGCGGCGATCAGGGCCAAGAAAAGTATGTTGTTAGGGCGTTCAGATCTGGTGTTCGTGAACGCGATTTCCAGATATAACGTCGGTCAATTGGCTCTCAGTCAATATCGTTCGTGGTACGATGACGTAATCAAACCATGGCGCATTGAGAAACTTGTGAACCAAACAGAGAATTGTACTGTCTAGAGCAGCCTTTCCACTTAAAAAGTGTACCAACAGTTAGAAGTGAGCTTGTTTCATCATATCTGATGCTTGCTACAATGTCTTCAAATGCGAAACATTCCATTTAACACAAATACGTTCACTACGTTCCGTAAGTGACGTCGGCTACGTCACGTACTTGTGCTCGAATTCCAAATAGCAGTTTTCAACGCCAGCAAATCCCGGACACTTGAAAGATCGCAGCCTCCACGCGTGGTCATGGGCCGTGACGTTATGGACTTTAGCTGTGATAATTATGGAAGCTCTGCAGGGTGCCTGCTTCTCAAAGCGGAAAATCGTGGAATGTCGACGCAATTTGTACTTTTGGAGGTGTTTTTCAATCGATAACGAACCGAAAATGACCAAATTTAGCTAAAACACCACACCCTTAGAAATGAAAACTACATGTACATAAGTCTGTAAGCTCGTGTGTTTCTGACAGAAACTCACCACAGGTGGTACTCACGCTCTATTCCTGGTACCCACGGCTCGGTGAGCCCGACCCCGCTGATTCCCTACGGAGGGCTTCTTTGGTGGCCGAACTTCTCATGAGCATGCCCCTTCCCTGAAGAGGCTGCGGTTCCCAGGCGTGCTCAGTCCACTGCCGCGTTGAACGGGGCGGGCGTGCTGACGGGGCGGGCGTGCTGGCGGGCGCGGGCGTGCCGCCGCGGGTGTCCGTCCTGCCACACTGGCCTCCCGTCCATTGGCGCCCTGTTTACCGTCACTCGGAGCTCATTGCCATTGGCGGGGCGTGCGGCCTGTTGGACGCCCCGCTCCGCGCCGCCGCCTCGCTCCGGCCGTAACTCGCGCTCCCAGTGGGCGTCTCCATAGATCAGACGCCGCCGTGTCCTGCCGGCCGCACACGGTCGCGTTTTCACGCGGTTGGCTCGCACCGCCCGCCGTCTGCTCCGCGTGCAGTCAGACGCTGTTGCTGCCCTGCGGGAAAAGCGGAGTGGACAGTTTCTTTTTAAGGTTGTGTCGTCATCAGGAACCGAAGTTACGGCCCACGTTAGCAATTGGGCTCCTACAATGCGGTGAAAGTATAAAGTGCAGGCTAAGGTACAGCCTTTATGTATTGGGAAGCTGGATGAGGACCCTTGAGATGAAATCGTGCGGTTGGAATTTAGTGCAGTCTGGTCTTTTCTTACTGCATATCCGGCCGAATCACCAAGCGTCTGTCACTGATCTGCTGCCCTCGTGATCGCCTGGCCTCGCTCGATCGCTATCAGCTGGCTAGAAACTCCAGACTGGGCCGCCCCCGCTGCTGGAAGCATACCTGTTGAAAATGTTACCGTTGACTGGGTGCCTTGCCCGACCCAATGCTGCTGCAGAGAATAATATTTCGTTCTCATTAAACCTCGCAGATGCATGCGAAATCCATTGCACGCGCGCGCTTGGACCGAAGGATCCAGGCTGCAGGAGGAGGGGGAGGGGGAGGACAGATATCTCAGCCTGGGAGTCGGCCACCAGCCTGCTCGAGCTGCTTGCTGGGACTCTCGCTCCCGGGACATCCCAACTGAGTGGGGCCGTACCTGGGACATCCCAACTGAGCTAGGTCACATCTTGGACATCGCGGCTGAGCGGGGTCGCATCTGAGACATCCCAGCTGGGCGGGGTCGCATCTGAAACATCCCAGCTGAGCAGGGTCGCATCTGAGACATCCTAGCTGAGCAGGGTCGCATCTGAGACATACTAGCTGAGCAGGGTCGCATCTGAGACATCCCAGCTGAGCGGGGCCGCATCTGGGACATCCCAGCTGAGTGGGGCCGTGTGAAGAACATACGAACTCGCAACTCACGATGTTAAAAAGCCGAGAGCGCTGGGTCTTTTTAAGCCAATTATAACGTGAATTTCTGCTGAGATTTCCTCTTGCGCCCGTCATCGCCGCTCCCGGCTGGCCGTCTCATGGCTAGCCTAGCGGCTGACGTCTGGCGGGCTGGGTCGCGGCCGAGCGCGTGCCGGGCCTCGGCGAACTGCGCAGCTGCGCGGCCGGGACCGCGCGGCACGTCGTGAGCCGCCACTGCCAGAAGCCGGAGCCGGCGCGGCAGCCAGAGCCGGAGCCGGAGCCGGAGCCGGAGCCCGCAGCCGGTGCGGCAGCGAGAGCCGGCGCGGCAGCCGGAGCCGGAGCCGGAGCCGGTGCGGCAGCGAGAGCCGGAGCCGGCGCCGGAGCCGAAGCACAGAGGCAGGGCCCGAGCCGAGCCTGGCAGAGGCGAGGCGGGACGAGTCGAGTCGGGAATAACGTTGCTGATGCGACTTTCCGCACATGTATTTATGGACTACTAATGAAATGTGCGAGTTGGGTGCAAAGTAATGATGCGTCAATGCTTGGAATGATCATCACCAACGGCACTTTACAAGATGCTTCGCTTTGACAGATCATCGATGGATTTTTCTGACATCTGTGATGAATACGCCCTCCACATTCCTGGGACTCAACGTCGAAGCGCTGCTGGAGCCAGAAGCGTACATTAAGCATTAACAGCTCTTTTCTGAGGTTCAAGGCAGCTTCTCCATGACACTAGTCATATCAGACGCTTCACATTGGCAGGCAGAAAGGCGGCTGACGACCCTGTGCCTGGTCATGCTGCCATACTGTGGATGTTTGTGCCACCTTCAGTGTGACTGGTTCGATGTCGATTGTTCACACTACCCCCGTCACCCCAACCTTCCCTATTGCAGCTGGCGGTCTAAATGCACTTCGACAGCCATTCGATAGCAATAACAATCACTACACCGCAGGCCGGCGGACCTCATTGGAAAGCAGCCTACCGTCGATCGAAACCTGTTGTCGATTTATCTCGCTTCACGGAGCTGGGTCGGCGCGGTAAAAAGAAGCCGTGTTGCCTGAACGAGACCGTCCGCTATCTCAGTGAAACGAACGCGCTGTTCTCGCGAGGTGTCGTGTCACAGTTGGACAAGCTATTTAAAGCACGGATGCTATCTAATCCTGGACTTACATCGACACGGCCACCGCCTCCGGCCGACACCGAGACAAGTCTGTCTTGCAAAGAGCGCCTGCAACGCACCCGCGGTGCCGGACGCCGCGCTGCATTTGACGCGTCGCCGCCGCTCTCCGCGCCGGGCTGGGCGGCTCGGTCGGAGCTGCAGCGCGGCGCTCCTCGCCGCTGCCGGGGGCGCCGGTTCGGTCGGACCGCGGCACGGCGCTGGTCGCCGCTGCCGGGGGCAGCGCCTCGCTCGGCGGGCGGACCGGTGCGCCAGCCGCACGGCCGTCGCCCCGCGTGTACACTGCGCGTGCCGCAGACCACATTGGGCTGAGGTATGCCGGCCTGGTGCCGCGCGACCACCGCCAGGACTGATTCGATATCTCCGGTCCGCACGGGGCGCCAGCGGCCGCGGCGCAGTGGCCAGCCTAGGAGGCTCCCGGCAGGCTAGCCCAGGCTTCATTTCTCTCTCGTAGAAGGCTTCCGTCCAGAAGGTGTATTTTTGGAAGACCTGAGCTCAGA